CGGGGTAGACGAGATACCGAAGGTGGATTCGGTGATGAGCACGTCAATCTTGATACCCTTGGGAACCTCCGCCGGAATCAGATGACGGTCTTCCTCTCGGGAATAATCGCCTGTGAAAAGAATGTTCAAGTCGGCAATGGAGACCAGGAACATGGCAGCGCCGAGAACATGACCGGCCGGGTAGGGAGTAAAGCGAATGCCGTTGACGGTGTGGGTGGTGTGGAAATCAATGAGCTCGATTTGATCAAGTGTGGTGTGGTGATCATGCTCGGTATACAAAGTAGTGCGTTGGTCCGACGAGGACGACGTGTTGCTCACTCGCACATTATCCTGGATGAGCCACTTGTAAATAGCCTTGGTAGCATGTGTCATGAACACACGACCCTTGAAATTCGTCTTGCTGAGTACATATGGTAATGCCGATGAATGGTCGACGTGGAAACTAGGAGGAGGAGGAGCATGTATCAGCGGTGAAGCACTGGCACGATTGTGGCAGATGATATTGCTCGCGAGGCATTATACAAGGACACAACATGGAAGATAACATCATATTTATTGGAGTCTCATGTACATGAGCGGGGATCGCTTGAGGCGATAGCAGGAGCCATCGCCAGAAATACCCCGGGGGCGCATAGGTCTATACTTGGTGTAGCACACAGGCGCTAACGAGCTCGTCTTACACGACGACGGACAGTCTGGCAGAAACGGCGAAACACAAAGGAGAGGCTATCCCACATACTGGCTGATCAGTAGAATATCTACCGTACTCAAGTCGAACTCGTCAAAGAAAGGAAGAGCCGAGAAGCCCTCCTTTCCAGGATGCATACCTGCATCGAACTATTGAAGTTGGCAAGTCAGCATGGCACCAGAGCGAGACATAGGACTTTGCTTGTCACCTACCATGACAGTCTTCCCCTTGTACTGAATAATATGACAGGATCGTCCGACTTCATTGCCGCCTCCCAGACAGTGGAAGGCCAACTCGTCGGCGGGGTCGACCGGTTCATCATCGATAGCGGCGTTCAACGCCGCTGCCTTGCGTTTAGTGGCCATGATGCGCACCTCGGCCTGTTAGGCGATCGAATGCGTCAGGTTCCAGGTTAGTATAACTATGCGCAATGCGATTATCAATTGTTGCGCTGTTGACGTTGAGCAACAGTCTAGCTCCGACAATTGGCTGGCTGGCTGGCTTGCCTTTGTTTAAACGAGGTCAGTCAGTCAATCAGTCAGCGCTGGAACCACAGGCCATGACAGGCGCTGAAAGAGGCGCTTGAAACAAGATCAGCAATGACTGGGTGAGGCCTATAGAAGGTAATTTGTGATAATAATTTGCACAAGGTTCCAATGTCTCAAAGTCCCAGACTAACCCTAGCCCATTTCCCGATAAGAAAGGGTGTTATGGCGCGACAGGAGGACAGTTCAAGCTGGAAGAGAAAAAGACGCGGTCGGCGGCTTGGAACGGCCTGGCCGTGAGGACTAAGGAGTGACTAATGGGTTAAGCGCGGGCTACGCGGCCTTTAGCGCCACGTGACGGGCCTTTCCGCCGCATCGGGCTGGGAAGCAAACCTCGTCCGCCGCAGAAGCTCCCCTTCCCGATTTCGAAGAGCATCATCGTTGGCTTTCCCCGTCGCTTCATTCACTGCGCATACCCTCGACATCTATCACGACACCCCTGTTCTGACTCTCTGTATGCTTCGAATGTCACTATCGATGTCGTGAAATGGTTACAGTTGGTGGCGGTGGCGGTTATCAGCACTCCGCTCGGATTCTCAACACATACGCGACGCATCTCCAATAGACGTGACTGAGTTTGATCTGAGTCGGAAGTAAATTCATCGACTGTCGCAGACTAAATCACCATGGCGCAACCACCACCACCTCAGGGGCAACACTATACCCCATCCTTCTCGCCTCCGCAAACCTCACCGTCTCCAGGTGCTCCGTCGCCGATACCGAACGGCGGTATTCCTCCCCCGAAGCGACAGCGCCTTTCTCCTCTCCCACAATCTCAGTCACCGTACGCCTCTCCCAGCTTCGGTACTCTGCAACTACCACCGAATCAGTCTGCTCCCTACAATGCCAATAACTTAAACGGTGTTGCGCCTCCATCGACTCCCGGTCCTCCTCCACCACCTCCTCCTCCTCCTTCGGGCACGATGGGACCTCCGTCAAGACCGGTTGAGAAAGCCACGGACGCTGCTGAGTTGACTGACGTGTTGGCATCATCCGGAATCGATGTGCGTGAGGAAGAGGCATTCCTGACCAGCAGCTACTCCGGACCAGGCGTTCAAGCGCAACAAGCTCCCCGACCTCAACAACCTCCCGCCCCGCAACAACTTCACCATCAGCCACCACCCCCACCCGCCGCAGTCAATACCTCATTTTCCTCTCAGCCATCGACCACCGGCACCGCTCCTTCTACTCCGAGTTTCGGTGATAACTCACATTACAAACCACCTCCGACCCAAGACTCGTTTTACACAGAGTCAGCATCACAGCCACCCGCTCCTTTCAAAGACCCTAATGAACCAACCCGAGAGGATAGCGAAGCGGCACGACGTGCGCAGTATCACCTACAGCACTCATTCCTTTTGACCAAGGTTTTGGAGCAGAAGTTGCAGAAGCGGGGGTTTGAGCTGGGCGTTCGCATCCCCGCGGAGGGCTTATATCACCCCGTCCCCGGTCGCCAGCAACCGATCGAAGTGACGGGACCGGATGGGTCGTCTATCATCCGTTCGGGACAGACGATTCTCAATCAAACTGGGGCCCCCTTACTTGACATTCTAAGCCTCATGTCGATTGCCTGTGAGGAGCGTCTGCGCTCGGTTGTGGATTATTCTTCTACACTGGCGAGAAGTCGCCGCGCACATTCCCACGGCGTGGTTCCTGCTGACTGGAAAGATGTGGCGTCTGCGGCTAGTGTGACGAATGGGAGTGCAGAGAACCCCAGCACGCCAGCCAAGCGTATGTTCGACTATCCATCGCTACTGACCCAAAGTCACTAACAGTATTAGGTCCAAACCCAGCTACGGATCAACAAGGCACGAGATCTCTACTTGAAAAGTACCGCATCATCGCGGAGAAGGACAATTCTAGTGAAGACGCTCGGGCGATGAAGCGCGCGAAACGCAGTGCGAGTGCTATCCTTGGCGACGGTGTAGCCAGTCGAGCGGAGAGTGTGGATATCCCCGGCTCTGGAGCCTCAACACCTATCGGAGAGAAGGCACCCAGCATCGACAAGAAGACGCTCACCAAGAAGGAAGCCAAGAAGTTGATAGACGCGAAAGCCAGCGAAGCTCAGCAACATCAGCAATCTGTGGAGACGGCACGGATGGCAACCAACAGCATGCTTTCTGGGCGAATGTTCGGAGCGAAGAAGTCATATTCCTGGTTGAATCGTGGATCGGCGGCAGGCAGTGGGTTTTCCACGCCATCCCGTGTTAACACGGCCACGCCTACCGCCGGCAGCGAAAAGGCTGGCCGCTCGGGTGAACCAGCGCCGGCCCCCGCGAAACGACTGGGGAGCTGGCGCGAGGACAAGGCGAAGGGCGCTGGGATTCAGGTTCGGGACATTGTATTCATGCTCGAGCTCGATGGGCGTGGCCCTCGCCACGTGCAGAAAGCTTACTCGAAGGATGTGAAGGAGGATCGAGCAGACTGAGGGGAGTTCTTTGTCACTGCGCAGGATCGTGGTTTATTTGGCAAAGTAGCTGAACTCGGTGGCGTTGCCAATGATGTTTCCTTTCCTTTGATGCATGCAGCGTCTTGAGCTCTTCTTTCTCTCTCTCAGTCCCTCGTTCTTGCATTTCATGTTCTCGTAACAACTCTTATTACCCATTTTCCTCTAATCTGATTGGGACGACGCTGAACTGCATGACCTACTAACTTCTGGGGAATGAGCCAAGGAATGAGGGGGGGATGATGATGTTGCTGACGAAGCCCCGAATGACAGCCCAGATGAAAGCACACATTTTGTGTTTTATGAATTCGTTGCATAGCCTTTGCCGTAGTGTACTTTTACTTTCTGGATCATAGCACCGAACTACGAGGTCATGAGTATCATGAGTGGCGTACCTGAGGCACCGAGGCGCAAAGCCCGGGGATTTTCCTGAGCAGGTTAGGGCTGGCTCCGAGGCCCCTGCACCCCATGAGTCTAAGTCAGTCCGAGATTATTCCCGTGGGGCAACATCCAACAATGGCCGCCGGAACGCCTCACCATTCTTGGGTGGTAAATTCTTCGTTTGTAGCTCAGCGCTCTCGTCTCAGTATATTACAGTCGATACCTACTTCTTGCCTCGGCCCTTCCTTTCAATCAATGAAACCTGCCTGCTGTAGCAGGTGATCTGGCATTCTAACCAGAAGTATGCATATACTAAAGAGAAGTTCAGCAGCCAGCCCACTCCAAACCCCTACACTCGCGATGCATGCATAGCAAGATTTCGACACAAGTGAAGCGCCCCATTAAAAAGCGCTCCACATCCTTACGCCTACACCTACTCATATGTAGCAGCCCGAGATTCCGAGTTAGAAAGCCCGCGCAAAGGAGAAGTATGTGTATGAGTAACACGCGAAACCCTCACCGTCCCGTCCTTTCCCCACCGCCTCCAGGCAGAACTTCGGGACAATGATGTCAGAGGACGCAGGGACGGAGTAGCATGTCTGAGTAGCGTGTGGGTGGCATAACATAAATCATGAATCACGATTTAGCTCCGGATCCCGAGTAAGGATTTTAGTCTACGGGCAACGGGCAAAATAGTATCAGGCCAGAGGACCGAAGCGGAGAGTGAGAATGAGGGATGGAGGGGGGCATTGGCTCCGGTTTGGGGCCCTCCGGTTCCCGTTGGCCCCGAATTATTACGCTGCTGCAGCGCACCTGGCAGCGGAGATTAGCACCGAGATGGGGAGGGATGGATGATCTTGCCTCGGAGGCTCAGTTGTGCACCATCCTATGAGTAAGGTTGGCTGCGAAGGGGTTGGTTGTCCCGTTGCGATGGGAACGAGGTCGAGGTGGTTTTGGAGAAGGATGGTTGTGTTATGGGAATAGAAGTACTAGTAAGTTTGTGATGTGAGATTAAAGGCACAACTGCAGCAGTGCAGTCTGCATGGAGCGCGCACACACACACACACACACAGAGAGAGTACACAGTAACTAATGTGCAGTGGTGAATGTGCAGGGACAGGCAAAGTAAGGACTACTCCGGACAGCCAAACGTGCCGAGAGTGCAGATGCTGACTGGTCTTGCTTGCTTGCCGATGTCTTGCCACTGCATAGTTACTCTGTAGAATGATGGTTATAGGGAGACAGAACAGACAGATAGCCCAGAGACCATTATCCATGCACCAAAGGATCTGAAAATAACAATAAAAAAGAATGGGTGATTTTCACCATGATCGCAGGTTATACTCAGTATTTCGTGCGTGTAGCCTTCGAATCACTTAGGTTGCTTCTTCCATTTTGTTGACTTCATTACAGGAGCAAGAATCTTTCTTTATGTCCCTATTGTATGCATCCGTCCAGTGGATCGGGTAAGAATAAGCCTAGACTTCGCCTCGTTAACTTACTTTTTTCTCCTCTCTCACTAAACCGTTTAGTGGGCTTTTGCTCTTTTCGCCTCTGGGGCTGATTGGGGAGGAACCCAGCGGATCGACGGGCTGGTGGTGAACCCAGTCTCCGATCAGAAGATGACGACCGGAGGTTACTATTAATTATTTGATCGGCTCTTCTCATTGTCATTCAGTCATTCTTTCGTGGGGGGGGATAAAGGGGAGGGGTCTGAGAGAACATAAGACAGCAAGATTCGCAAGGGGGAGGGAAGACTACACAAAATAAACGTAGTATCAAAATTCCCACGCGATGGACGGACTGGAAAGACTGGAAAGCGAGGGAGAGGGAGGGGAGAAGAGGGTGTGCGTGTCATAACCGACCGTTCGTGCCTTTCGCCTGGTGCTCGTGCGGCAATACATTAATGATGATGATGATGATGTTGTTGCTAGGATTATGATGGACGTTACTTTCTATCAACAATTCCCCAACCGTCCATTATTGTCTTGGTCTTTGAAATGTAGGCATGGTAGCAACATCTGTAGTCCGTAGCACTGTGATCAATTGGAATGGGGACAACTTGACTTGATTTCTTCGATTACTTCGATTACAAGGAGCTGGACTTCGATCGTTCTCTGCTGGTAACCCCATCGTTCTCGAGTCCAGAGCACACTCGTACATACATACATACTCAATATCCATCCATACAATTCATCGTTCATCGCCTCCCCCATAATGAATTCAATCAATCAATAATAATTCCCACAACGCCCCCCCCCCGCCATTGACCCTCATGAGCGCTGTTTTGCTTACCCCTTCTCCTCTCCTCTTCTCTCCGCAACTCCATGTAATTAATTCAGTCATTGTGATTCGGATATTTGTGAGGGTCGGTCATACGCGGTTCTTCTGATCTTCCCCGACCGACCGCCTCGCCATCCATCCATTCATCCATTCATCCAGTCTGCGATCCCCACGCTGCCTCCTCCTCGTCTTCTTCCTCCTCCTCCATTCTCTCACTCTCTCGTTTCCCTTCCTCCTCTTTTACACTACACATTTTGTTTTGATACCCCCTCCCCCTTTCGACAATCTCACTCTTACTGGTGATATACGACTTGGGAAACCCGACGCGACTGGCCGATTTCCCAGGGTACGATACTCGAGTCTCCCCCTACTGCGCTCGACGAAACGACCGACGAACCTACTACCAAGCACCGCCGTGACGCTGCGGACGGCCGACTACGATCCGACCACTCCCTGAACCGCCGCCGCCTCCTCCTCCTCCCCTCTCCCTCTCCCTCTCCCTTCCACAGGCCCCCATCGACTTCGTTGACTCTTCTCGTCTACACTCTCATTCTCTCGACGACCATCCGCCGCTCATCTCGACCGGCTGGGTCTCGCGTCCCCTCTTCTGCATCATGTCTACCCCTTCAACGGCTACCGCGACACACCCGCACCATCAGCAACACTACGCATACCCTCATCATCAACCTTACCAGCCAACCCCATCCTACCCAACCACGTCCGCTGCAGGCACTGCTCGCCTCGTCACCTCCGCCTATCCCTATACTGTCAACCCCCCGACTACCTCTCTCCCTTTCGTTCAATCTCCTAAGACAATACCCACGGCTCCCACGCCCTCTATGCCGCCTGCGCAGAACCCCATGAACGCTGTATCAGCCGCTCAAAATGGTCGGAGGAGGAAGCCTAACTGGGGCGAATTCTACAAGAACGGCATACCCAAGGAAGTCATCGTGATCGATGACACGCCGCCTCCAGAGCAGTCCCAGGCCGCTTCGCGCAATCCGGCGACGGCTTACATCAACGCACCCAATGGTGCAGCGCCCCAACCGGCCAGCAAGAAGCGGCGCACCGGCCCCGACACGACTTACGATCTTGCAACCTATGATCGACCCTCGTTCTCGATCAACCCCCAACAGTATGGCGAAGAGTCCTCGGCTGAGTCTCTCTCCACCGACCGAACAACATCTCTACATACTACCGCGCCCACCTCCCTGTCTCAGGGAAGTACGGGGGCTAGCAACGGGTTATATTATGAAGACGCCAACACAGGCCAAAAACGCAAGCGAGTGACCACCCGGAAGTCTGCTCGTGATGAGCAGAAAAAGAAGGAGTTGGAGGCCGCTGGTGATGCGTTCTTGAGTTACGTCCCGCCTCCGAAGCCCATCATCAAGGCGAAGGATGTGCCGGTTCCGGTGATTCGCGATGTGAGTATCGTGACTGAATTCCCCGCACCGAATAGTAGCGCTAATGGGATTCGTAGTATGGAAACAGAGGCGAGAAGTATGATGACGACGATGGCCACTACATTGTAACGCCAAATGTTCCATTGACCGATCGATGTAAGTAATTGATGTCTACGGAAGGAAGGACGCCCAAACTGACACCTTCAGACTCGATCGTCAAACTACTGGGACAAGGTACATTCGGGAAGGTGGTCGAGGCGTACGACAAGACCCGCAAGACCCGCTGTGCGGTCAAGATCATCCGCTCCATTCAGAAATATCGCGATGCCTCGCGGATCGAGCTGCGAGTCTTGTCCACCTTGGCCTCGAATGATAAAGCCAATCGGAACAAGTGCATTCACCTACGGGATTGCTTCGATTTCCGCAACCACATCTGCATTGTGACAGATCTGCTGGGACAGAGTGTTTTTGATTTCCTCAAGGGAAATGCCTTCGTGCCGTTTCCCAGCAGTCAGATTCAAAATTTTGCCCGGCAACTGTTCACCAGTGTTGCTTGTGAGTTTTCTTGGTTGTTTATTCTCTGCAGATGCTGACTGTGCAGTTCTCCATGACCTCAACCTCATCCACACCGATCTCAAACCCGAGAACATCCTGCTTGTTAGCAGTGCATACCAGACCTTCACATATAACCGTACCATTCCCTCATCCTCCTGCGCGATTTCACGGAGCGCCCGGCAGAGACGTGTCTTGCTAGATAGCGAGATCCGGTTGATCGACTTCGGGTCGGCCACCTTCGATGATGAGTACCACTCGTCGGTGGTCTCCACTCGACACTACCGGGCTCCCGAGATTATCTTGAACCTGGGCTGGAGTTTCCCCTGCGATATTTGGAGTATCGGATGTATCCTTGTGGAATTCTTCACGGGAGATGCTCTGTTCCAAACTCATGACAATCTCGAACATCTGGCCATGATGGAGGCCGTCATCGGGGAGCGAATCGACACGCGGCTTGTCCGGCAAGTGATGCAGGGTGGTCGGAGTGGAAGCCAAAACCAGGCTGCAAAGTATGTTTTTCGTCTTCGTTCTTTTAGATTGTACTAACCTGAAAAGGTACTTCTGCCGCCTACGCCTTGAATATCCCAATGACCAGACGACACGGGCTTCACGAAAGTACGTCCGGGCGATGAAACAGCTCATTGTAAGTTATCGGAGACCGCCAGCCTCCGGAAGCCACCACTAACGAGTCACAGGAGTTTATCCCAAGCAATACCAAGTTCCATCGACTGTTCCTGGATTTGTTGCAAAAGATCTTTGTGTATGATCCGAAGAACCGGATAACCGCCAAGGAAGCCTTGAAGCACCCCTGGTTCAAAGAGTCGTTGGTGGATGACGGTACAGAGGCTCTCCGCATCGGGGAACAATTACAACGTACCGGCCAACGTCGCCAGTGAGGAGGTTGACTTCTAGTGCAAGGGAACACTGCATGACAAACTACATGGCATAAGAGCCGGTGGCTGCGGTCTTCGAGCCCTTGTGTCGGGTATAGCTGCCTTTACGATAGATGGACTGTTACTTTATTTTGGATAATACTTAGCAGGGCTGTACGGGTTGCCCGCTTGACGATGACCGGGTATATGCAATAGGGAGGGGTTTCACGGAGTCTGGTGTTTATGTTTGTGTCACAAAGCTCCATTCTATCGGACGGTGAATTAGTTCCTGGTCGGTTGCAGGCCTTGACGGAGAAAAACATTCTTTGTGGCCGCAACGAAAGGATACGGTGTGGTTGATTCTGTCTCTATCGGCTTGCTCTTAGCCATCTTATCTCTTATCTATTACTGATATATTCGATACGCCTGCATTGTGTTCTGGGCGTGGGTTGAGTTGTCCTTTGGGGAAGGGCTTGATTGTGGTAGTATCTATGATACGTGCGATACTGGTACCTGCCTACACTTGCCTATGCATTATTGTCATTACTCATATCATACTACGATATATATACCCCGAGTTGTCACTGATACAACTGATTGAGATGCATGATGCTTACGCAATGGTTTAGAACCAAATTCGATGACGAGGCGATAGAAGCTCACTGCTAGACTACAACAAATAGACAGCTAGCTGTCTTGCTGCCACGAAGTCACGAAGCCATGCATGACCAACAATTTCTTTCAGACTCACGATCTATCTATACACATGTCTGCCCTCATCTAGAATCCGAACACAGTTTCAAACTCCCCCCCCCCCTAGCAGGAGGCCGGGGGGGAGATACTCCCAAAGAACTCCCGAAATCTGTCACTTATACTTCACAAAAACATCACACCGCGTCCCATCCCCCTCGACAAACTCCTCAACGGGGCCCACGAACCCCGTCTTCCGCAGCACCCGCTGACTCGCCGCATTGTCGTGGTTCGTGATCGCCCACAACCCCGCCTCCACATTCCCGGTGGCCTCCGCGCCATACGCCTCCGTCATGCGGGCCTGCAGCTCCCCGAAGAACTTCTGGCTGAGGTGCTGCACCGCCTCCGTCGCGTACCCCCTGCCCCACACATCCGGGTGGAAGATGTACCCCAGTTCCCAGCGGTCTTTGCGTGAGGGGTGCTGGTCCGCCGCACCGCCCGACGACGACGACGACGACGACGACGTTAATCCAGAATCATCCCGCTGGGTCGGGGCGGGCTCCATCCGCACGCCCATGTTGCCGATGACGGGGCCTGCTGCTGCTGCTGCTGGAGTGCCAGTCCCGTTGGGAATGGGAGTGGAAGTTTTAGGAGGCGTTGGTAACAATTCCCGAACAACGTAGCACGTCCGGGGCGGGTGGTTCTCCCCCGAGATGTATTTCGTTAGCCACGTGCGGGTTTCTTCGAGGTTCTGGTCGGGGAGTTTGCGCAGGCTGGTGGTGGTGGGTGTCGGATTAGTGTCGTAATTTTCTCGGATTTTTCGTGCACGGAGTGGAGAATCTACGGGGGTCTTGCTCACCTCCATCTCATGACTTCGGGCTTGTTGCGGATCTGATACATGGCTTCGAGATCGTCGGGCGTCATGGCCTCGAAGAGGAGGCGCGGAGTGGTGAAGGTTGGTGGGGGGTACATCTTTTGTCGGGGGGTGGGTTCTTTTGTGTTTGCGGTTTCTGGGATCTAGAGGTAGAGATATCAAAGGGGAAGGTGTCTAGTATACGAATATGATTGAGTGGTTGATTGTTGGATTTCAAGTTGAGATCCAGGGTCCATTGATCTTATTTATGGGTTGGGGGTGGGTTTTCTTATTCTCGATCTTGAGGGTCTCGTGTTGCGCGCGCGGGTGCGTGAGTCATATTGCTTGGAGTAATTAATTCTGCTTGGTTTGCCCCGTTGTGACTTGGTTTTTTGAGGCAATTGGCGATCGGTGTAAGACATTGTATTCTTAGTGAGGTTGATGATAAGAGGTATGGAGGTTTGTCTTACTTTGGTGGTTGGAGGTTGGAGTGGGGGTTCGCTGCTTGTGCTACTGTGCTGCTGTGCTGCTGTGCTACATGTGTACTGTGTAGGGGTCCACGGTGTGTATTGCGGGTGCTTGTTGTATATACTCCGTATACTGGCGACACATATTATTCGTCGAATCGGCACTGCGGTCTCTGTACTATTCAGCAGTTTCAGCAGTTTATCAATGCTATTTTATTACTAGTAGGATATAGGACTACCCGGGGCCCACTGGGATGTGCAAAATGGTGCAATGTATGGAATGGAGAATGCCACCTCGATTCAATGGCAGCGTCTCCTATTGTTAATATGTCTATACTTTCTTATTCACTCACCCTTTGATCAGGTTATTGCTTACCTACTTGTATCCTCCCCTTCATCTCTCTGTTCTTCTTCTTCTAAATTCCTCCCTCTATCTCTCTCTCTCCTTCCTGTCTCTCTCCCATTGGCCAGACTCAAAAGCTCCCTCTTCATCTTCGACCAGGTTCAAGAGGCTACTAATCCTTACAACTATCCTATCCAGCTTCAGCTACCCTCAACCCAACCTCGAACGTGTGGCTTATCATCTCTACACCTCACGCATGCTGCCCCTGACCACAGACTCGATTCCTCCGACACAAAAGGTCTCGCGTACCTTGCGGCAGGCCAGCCTATAAAATGCACTCGCCCAATTTGTATCTCAGCCATACAACCTATCATCTCTTCAAGTATAAGTCCCAAGGGGGAATAAACAACTCTCACCTCACATTCAATGGCCAAAATCTACAATCACCACTGCCACATCATCATCCGCAGCGCCACCGAAGTCTGCAAGAAATCGCAGGAATTGCAGGGGCATCAATCAACGTGCCGATGTCCACAGCACGTGGTCGACTCACTGAAGCCAGGCATGTTGCAGAGATCAGGCTGAAGGTGTTCACCACGAAGCCTCCCAAGTAAGCTTTCCCCAGCCTCCACCGCCAAAGATAGAGACTCATTTGTGGAAGAACGCAGCAGAGGCAGCGAGATACGATGCCTACTACTGAGGCCCGGCTGGCATCTGCTTGCTTTCGGTCGGTGTGGTCTCGGGTCTTGGCTAGATTGAGTTGATTTGCTGGTCCTGGAAGACTGCAGCGACAGCTACAAACCGGGGCGAGGAATTTTCTTAATTTATGCACAACGGCCATGGATATACCACTGTCAGTCCTCCACCAGCCCGTGTTCTCCCTCTCTGCCACTGATTAGGGCTCCTGAAGCCACAATTTGTTCTAAGACCAGAATATGCGGCGCAGCATCCGCAGCCTGGGGATCCCAGTTACTGCGTGAGCTGTACTCCAAACGCTACAGACAGTGCAGGGTCGAGTGTGCTCTGGTATGTGCTTTTTGCCTCCCTCACCGCCTCTTGCGCAGCCTGGCCAGGTGCCAACCCTCGGTCTCTAGTGCCCATGTTCGCGCCCGGTTGTTGATCGCAAGGTGGATGCCAGTCCTCCTAAATAAGATTGATCAGGGTTCGAGAGAGCCACCTGCGCTATGATGCTCAGCTCGCGCGACGAGAATCCTGACTCAGTTCTCAGGCCTGAAGGATGCAACTTAAGATGAACGATGGAGCCAGCTTGGCATTCACTTGCTTTCTTTCTGGCCCCCAAAGATTGCGATATCTAGTTCTAGACAAGATAGGCAGACTGGCATAAAAGAACAAGCCATATAAACCTTCCTAAGTACTCATTCTCATCCCAACCAAACAAAGAGAACACGACAAGCCTCACCATAGATAACCGTACTGCTAATGCGAACGTCTATAAAACTGCACATGCTGACTCTCACACACCCAACATCCCCAGCTCCTCCAACCGAGCCAAAAACTCCCCCCACCAATCCACCGCATGCGTCTCGCGGATCGACTTGTAGCTCTTCTCCCCGGCCCGCCCATTCCGCCGCAGAAAGTAGATCAGGCACTGCGCCCCGCGATGGCCCTGGAAGTCCACGGCGGCAGCACCAGCACCAGCACCAGCACCAGTGGTGTCAACCAACCACCCCCGCGTCCAGTCAACCAACTGGTAGACCGGGTGCGGCTCGATCTCCACACACGGCTGGCCGGGGAACCAGCCGCGCAGAAGGAACGGCCGATCGCAGTGCGTGAGTGCTCTCGTCTGCTGCTCGGACAGGTGGCGGGGGAAGTAGACCATCAGGAGTTCGAAGTGGTCGACGGGGCCCCGGGTGTCGAGGTGGAAGGCGTACTGGCGCGTGGTGGCCGAGAAGTCCACCAGGGCGAGGTGCACGGATCTACCCTGTGTCAATCGTCCGAGGAGATCCATCAAAGAGGTGTAGTGGTCTGAGTCGATGAATTTGGCTCGCGTGGAAGCGTGGCTCCATTCTGGGGGTCTCATTAGGATGCCCTCCCGGGGGAGAACTGGTGCAGTGGACGGGGCAGGATCGACGAACCGATCATGAGATATTCGGTGTTCGGGGCTTCGAGGGAGCGGGAGCGCTGGAGTCGGAGGGCGACGGAGCTATGATGTCCCCGTAGCTGGTCGAAGAATTCGTCGATCGCATCGGTCTGCTTGGCATGGTCCCAGATGAGGGCCGGAGTTACGGAAATCCAGTCGAGGAGGCCGGGGTTGCCGGTACGAGTGGGTTCGCTCAGGCGCAGCGGCGGAGACGTGGTTGACTGGCGAGCTGATGGCTCCTGGAGGAAGGTGGGAAGATTGCGGCGCGTGGAGCGAGTGACTGGTGGCATTGTCAAGGTGACCTGTACTGAATAGTAGGTTGGACAGGAATAGGGGGTCAGATGCAGTGGAACAACAAGTTCAATCACTGCTCCGTTATTTTAGTCTAACACCGCTAGAATTAAGACTAATCGATGCTAGAAGAGACAGAATACCCTCGGGAAATACCTAGATATTATATTATATAACTAGGACCGTATATTGGTTCTTATACTTTGTATAACTTGCTTGATTTTTAGAGTAGTTATTATACGGCAGGGTACGTATATATGTAGTCTAAGATCCTAGTAGGTTTTGGGAAAATCTAAGTCTAGATATGTATAAGCTACACTGGAACAGTTGACATCAATAGCAGTGAGACCCTACTGTGCTCTTCCTGCCATCGACTCGTGCAGAAAGTTGTTCATTATCATTGAGTGTATTTCTTGGTGATCAGCGTCGGCTACATACAGAATACAAGGTATCACGTGGCCCTTTGCCGGACGATTAAGAACATAGTAAGGGGTAACCCTCATCACTGCGGTGATGTAAACACAGAGGCGCCCGGAAAGAGATGATATGTTTCAGAAAAGGAAAAGGGGTATGTCTAAATCCAGGACAAGATGACAAAGGAGACCCAGAGTCGTGGGGACACTCTGCTCCTTGGGTAGAGAGGAGTATGGGTCTGGGTTATGATAGCATGAGATGAAGGGTATTGAAGGTTAATGGATGTCGAGGAGTAAAGAAAGCAAGTCGTACCAGCGTGTTCGAGTTCACGGCATTTCAACGGAACCGGTAGGACTTATGGGCCAAGGGTGAGGGGGGGCCGTGGCCATGGCCGACTCCGCCAACAGGAACTCGAACACGATTATTCTTCCGAGTGGGAGTCTGTGCAGCGCAGAAGACGCAGACATAAACAGAGGGGAGATTGGCCCGTTCAAGACCAACACACTTGGTATGCAACCAGTGACTGCATGATTCACTGTCCCTAAGTCAGGCTAGGAAAGGACTGCTATAGCGTTCAGGACTACTTACCATTGGATCATCAGGTGACCACCGTTGTCCATGGAATTGCAAACACACCTGGTTCCCCGGCTTGGGTTACTAAACCGATCAGTGATCGGTGTTGCAATGTCAGGGTCCGTCATCGTTGTAGGAGACGTGTTCATCGTCCGCGTAGCGAGATCCAGTTCGGCGCCAAATCGCGGCGGTGACGACCGAAGGTGGGCCAGAGAACGATTGGCACGACCTATCCGCGAGCTGTAGCTGACAGTGTGAGGCCGAAGCGGACGTCCACGCTCTTGCAACACCTTCCGGAGGGCATGCTGGGCATCGCCACTGTCCTCATCCACATCATCGAAGGGCTCCCCCAGCGATCCGGCACTCAGATAGGACAGATCTGAATGAAGCATGCCAGTCTGTCTTTTCGGGGTCCGTTTCCAGTCATCCAGAGTAGGTTTGTACTGGGGCCGGCGGGAAAGTCCGCGAGAAGATCCATTCCATGGGGACATCCGCCCCGACTGGGACGATGCTGCCGTCGAGGTGTAGGAGCCCTTTGAGTGAGGCCGTGAACCCGAGTCACTACGGCCCGTCACTGACCTTCCAGCATCTGAGAAGGCGAGTGAGGGGTTGCGGCTAGGGATGATGGGGTATTCAGAGTAATCGACCGAGTCATACTCGCTCTCTGTTGTGGAGCCCTCCAGGTCCATGGCGGTGATAGGATCTGTCAATCCAGTCGCTGCCTCTTGCACGGGCTGCATTTCGGTCTTGGCTCGACCGTCGCGTCCGATCCGGAGAACTACTGACTGAGAACGTGTAGGTACGCTGGCCGCAGACGTTGAGCGGGGCATCGACTGCCGCATAGACTTAACAGGCGACAGGCGGCCCTTCGATGGGCTTTTGCGAATGCCATTTGTCAAAGACATCGTGCTCCCAGCACTGGGGCGAGAAGACGTGATAGCCGTATGAGTAACACTACGGGTCAGCGTCGGCCGGGCCTGTCGAGGAGTGTAGTCATCGTCCTCTTCGAGATCGAACGGGGCGAGTGGATGGTGTACATTCTGTGCCCGACGGAGTTCTTCCCGCTTCGACTCCTCGGTCTGATGATGGTAGGGCTGTCTGGTAGGCCGACCAAAGAGTCTCTTCTCAGGAGTCGGCTGGGGTCCCCCAAAACGACGTGCTGGAGAGCTGAGAAACATGGCTGGATCCTCAGCTTTCGTGATCGGTAGACGAGGAGAAGTAGAGAATGGGGCAGGGAACAGTGCGGCGTCGGTCGTGGTGGTTGACGAGAAGTTATAGCCGTGGGTATTGAACTCTGGAAGTTCCATACTACCCTCGATGGTGGGCAACTGAGGGATATGGGCATCCTGCAGAGGTGGAGGGTTGAGCTGGAAGGGGCCACTGGTTTGCGGAGCGAATAGATCGACACCGCTGGTCGAAAGACCCATGCCTACCCCATGATTTCCCAAGTCATGATCCCAGAAAAGTCTCTGCTGCGGAAATAGAGGGGATGCGGAGGGATTCATCGATCCCAGTTGAAACGGATCTGGGGAGGAGGTGAAATTGAACAACTGAGGCGAGGCACCCATTATCCGGCTAGGAGTCTCCAGATGACCGCCCACCGCACTGGAAGCGGAGGTACGTCGCCCAGTGCCCTTGCCCTCGCCATACTCAGTCATCTTCTTTCGAGAAGCGCTGCTTGGCGGGGGTGTCTGTATGGTGGCGGCAGACTTGGCTGAGTCCACCGTCCGCGGACCGTCCTCCCCGATAAACCCATTGGCTTTGGACGGCCGGCGTCGTTTCGCTGTATCTGTGTCCTGCTCCGCCGCTTTGGCGCTCCTCAGGTTGGGGTCTGCATCTAACGGTCGGTCGGGCCCAGTGTCTGGCAATCGGAGAGGATTGATCGAAGGGGTGCTTATACCGAACTTCTGGGGTGTCCGGAGAAATTCCGGACTGGAGGCATAGGGATCGGAGGTGTCCCAAGTGACTCGGGGATCGAAGAAGCTGGACTCGAGTTTGGGGGTCTGAAAGGCCGAATCACCGAAGATTGTGGTCGTCGGAGGAGTCCTCGTTGGGGTCTGAGGTTCACCGTTTGGATAGCTGAAGCTGAACGTAAAGGACGGCTCTGTTAGTATCATTGTGCACATGAGCGGCTACTTCGGGGGGGAGTTGCGGAGTTTCGACAGAAAGCTCCGCGGAACCAGCCTAGGGCCGGCCAGAGAGGACAAATCGTATATATGGGCCAACTATATACACATAGAAAGCTGGGGGTGGGGGGCTGCAGAATTGAAGCACACAAGCACGCAAGCACAAGTATTGAATAAGTGGCTTTCAAGTGAGGTGGAGTGGAATAAAGAAGACAAAGCAACCCCGCTTGTGCCAGCCCGTGGTGCCGTATGTGTAGGTAGGGGAGAGAGAGAATTGAATGAATCAAATCCCACATACCTGTGAACGGGGTGATCCCAACTCATGTCAGCAACTTTGTGATCCCAGCAACCATTCAATTGCAAAGCTGCCAGGCAACCCTCTCGTAGATTTTTTCGAGATTTTTGCGAGTCGTCAGGAATGTTCGGGGAGAGGGGTTTCGGTAGGGATCGAAGTTGCCGACGAATGTGAAGTTGCCCGGGGGTCATAGAACTCGAGCTTTGCGTTGGGACCCCTCGAAGGACTGAGCGGACGGGAAAGGAGGATTTGACGGTCTAGCACATAGTAGTCGAATCGGGAGGAGAGGCAGGGAAATGAATCCCGGAAGCAGTTCTAGGGAGGAGAAAGAGGGAGAGGAGAGAGGAGGGGGTGGACAAAGGAGGATCGTAATGAGAGGAAAGGGAGGAGGGAAGGAGGGAGGGAAGGGTAGGAAGTGGTGGTGGTAGGTTAAGTGGTTGTTGTGAGAGGGGGAAGTAATTTAGTAGTAGGAAGAGTAAGAAGAGTAAGAAGAGAAAGAAGAGAAAGGTTCCAAGAATGGTAGAATAGAGCTTCTGCTGAACAAAAGGTGCTCCAACGGAATGTGTGTTCGTTTCCTTCAATTTGTCTCTTCTCTGGTCCTTGGTTCTTGAGGGAGGAGGTTCGGTTCGTCAGTCGGTAGGTAGTAGTAGTCCCTGCACCGGAGGCAATAGTCGTTGTTGTAGCAGCTGTGAACTGTAGTTATCACTAGGTAGTGACTACTGTATGTTCGTTCCCAAGGAGACAGTCAAGGAGGGCAGTGGTTCAAATAGGAAGGAAGTAATTGAATTGATTGAGAAAGGGAAGCAATTGAATTTTGTGTTTTCGTTTTCCTCTGTTTGTAATTTGGTAATAATTTGACAGTTTTTTTTTTTCTTGCCCTCTTTTTTTTTCTTTTTACATACATCCGCAGATCCACTGGGGAACCATTTTCAATGAAGGGGAAAAAAAAAGACTACGGAAGGATGAACCCCAGGACCGGTTCTGCTGCCATTTCATTCTCGTTCGATCGTGTCTCTACTATATGACACTTGAGCCTTTGAGCTGCTAGTCTTTCAGTCATCTTTCTCTATAGTACTTGCATCCGTCATCATCAATCGAGGGTCTTCCAACCAGCATGCTCCTTCCCGATCTTCCTCCACCCTCTATCCGGTAGTGGTAGAGATTCGGCATCTTGATGGAAAGATTATCTCTCGGCCGGCTCACTCGGGCAAGCTTGTGGTTAAACTATGCCATGAGGACAAGGAAGAGTGCAAGATATTGCAAGACTCGGCATCATAGACTGCTGAATAGACTCCGTTCGCAGTGCAAAGAGCAGAAGAACCAGTCGTGATATGAATCGGGCTCCATTAGCGATCGAGGTTCCGCGGGTTCATATACGGATTTCCGGGGCTGGCCCTGAACGATCAATGCACCACCCCCCGCTAGAACAATATCCGCCTCATTCATTCCCCAGACCGGCAACCTAGCAATAAAGAAGTAAAGAAAGAAGAATTCAAGAAGCTCATGGCCTCCCACAGATTACACGGACGAAGCTACAGCTCTAGGGGGTTCAAAGCGCCCGAGGAGGTTTTCCAGAACAAGGAACGACGGTCCAATTCCCGTGGATCGTCTTATCTCCTTCTCCCGCACGATCGCTGCTGGCAATTGTTGGCTGACTGGCTCAGCTGCTTTACTGGGAGCTGACACCTTCATCAATCCTTCTATTGAACACTTGAAGCACTCCCGACCTACATTTCACAAGTGACAGCATCGAGTCTCCATCTTTTCTGCCCATTTTCAGATTGATATATCTCCCGCTGAAGCTTTCTGCCGGCCTTGAGCCGCCGTCGATCGATCCCCAACCTGATCAACCCCCACCTCATCTCGGAGTCTGAGATCTCTCGACAAGGTTCGCTTTGATGAAGACTCCCTTCCCAGGTTGTTTTCGATCCAGCCTACATTAGGCGACGGGGTAAAGGGAGGGGGGGGTGGATGGAGCCTTGCAACCCGTTCCTGAACACTACGTACTAGACTAAACGACCCTCGAACGCCCTGGGGTTGTTTGATTGATTCGACTCGACTCGACTCGGCTGGACTAGACCACGAGCATCCTCGGGATTCTGTTTCGTTCAGCTCCATGTCCGACTGCGATTGTAGCAAAGTAAGTACCGGGGAGTTGGGGGCGCTGGAGCAACGAGCAGAGACGGCGCGAGCTCGAACTGTCCGAAATTAATTTCCTTTCCTCGGTTCGTCTTGGCCCTGAATCGGGGCAGCAATGACGACATGGTGGTCACTAAAGTCAGAGAAGTGGCCCTGATTATGCCAACTCCTGAACTTGGACAGCTAGGCCATTCTTGAGGCTAGCTAGCCTTTCGTCTCTCCGCTGCAGCTATCCACTCGGTCTCGGGTGAGGCGTGGTGACAGAAAATGTAGACACAATCATTCACTGCCTCAACTAACACAAAAGATACATAAGACACATACAAACGGGGGCACAAGCACGAACAAACAAAATGGATTTGCTCAATTTCAATCTGTGCATTTTATGTTCGGCAGACACTTTCAGCATTGAGAACTACGTACTAAGTACCTACCTAGGTAGTAGACATGCTCACCCCTCCAATCTGTCCAGGCCAGATCCGACCCGGATGTAATATAACCTCTTTGGGATAAGTGTCTCCCTCTCAGCGCGATCGGACGCCGCGTGAGTCGCCCCGACACCAATTAAGTCTAGACTAATCTCGGGCACAATCACGGACTGCCACAGTGATTTTGGGGATAACTTGCGCTGCACCGTCTGCCGCTGCAGCAACGACCGGTTGTGATCCTGGCGAGCCACCATTGGTCGGAAAGAGGGTTGGGGACCAGGCCCCGGCCCGGGAAAGGGGAGCCTATCCTAGGCAGAACAGTGGCACTCCGATGGTGGACTGGTCGAATTATTATGGTCTAGTTCAATGTTCTATCACCCATACACATACGGACTCACTCAGCACTAGGCATGTCCCTGCTCAGCTCTGATTGTCACCCCTCATCCAATCCATTATTGATTGGTCTTCACCGTGGTCGGCCTAAGGGGCAAAAGTTTTGGTGACTCTTGTCCTTTTCAGCTTCACCCATGACCAACTAATTTACCGTCCATCAATCGTTTAGCCGCTAGACCTGCACGCGAGCCATGGGACCTGCAGCAGTAGTTAAGACGCCCTGCCGTGTTACGCAGTTGGACAGACACAGCAAGTCCCTATCCTATTTAATAAATCCAGAGCCCCTGGCATGGTCTCGAATGCAGCGTGTGCGTTCAACCGCCCCTCCCAACGATCGATTCGGCTATATTAGAGTTGAAGGCATCAGCAAGGGAGTACTCCGTGCAGTACATACCTTTCCAGGATGGGAGCGCTCCAGGGCCCTAAACCTCATCGAAACACACACGAGCGGGCGGAATCAGACACAGCAAGTTCTGAGACAGGAGGGTCAAACAGATAACTACATTCTTGCCCTTGTCAGTTCAACTAGGATCTTGAAGTGCCCGATGAACCACCAACCCTTCTTCATCGTTTACAGGAACGTGGAGTAGCCGGATCTTTTCATGCAGGTAACAAAAGCTAAACATTCAGCGCGGTAATCAAGCATCGGTCGCTCCTTGTAGTCAGAAGTCGGGACGCTGTCGAGCAACATGCAGCTATCTTTAGCTTAAGGTATCGATATGCTCTTGCTCCATGGGGTAATCGGCTGGTTGCCCGGGGCCCTGAGTGATCTGTCACTTCGGGAGATCTATACGCTTGATGCAGTTCATCCACAGTATGTTCGGAGAACTATTGCAAAGTACGGAGTAGCAGGTTTACCACTAGGCAATAACTGCTGACAGAATAGTACTCAACAGCTTCGAATCAGGAGTTGTGGCCACCGATTGCTTTGACTTCCTTTCAGCTGATCTGTTCCATCAGATCGGGTTCATCTCTCCTATCAGTGGCTGTGAATGTTGCTCGGCTATTCTTGTCCGCAAGATGAGAGACAATGAAAGGCTCACATGGAGTGATCTAAATCCCAACATGTGCGACAGTGTGCTAAGTATCAAAGACATACTCGCGACCGCGTATTACACTGGTCCTTAGCTTGGTACTCTCAAACCTCCTTTAGTGCTGCAGAATCAGCCATAATGCCGTGGTAGAGGGTAGAGGCGATGATGTGCCTTCCATGTCAAAATTCACCAGTTGCCCGTCCCCGCAGTCTGGATGCCTTGAGATTCAGTCACCAGTAGCCTAGTGTCAGCCACAATTCCCTATTCACCGCCACATCTTCCTCCGACGCGGCCGATTTGTCCGCGGGGGCTTGAATGCTGTCCATCTTCTTTGGGCATCATAAACTTGAACTTGACCGAATGCGCAGTGTCTTGCGCCAGAACACCTCATTATGGACCCTTGAAAGACAAAGAACGAATAAAACAGCTTGTACTCCGTCACAATGGATGTGTCACTCTTTCACATCTACCCCTCGTCTTATAGTCGAACCCCATCCTGAATCCTGCGCTCGCTTATCTATCGAATCCTCCGTCCGCCGAATGAATTAAACAGCATTGCATCACCGATCGACCACTTGCGTCCGAGCATACAGCATATTAATTGACTCCTAGTCATTTCTCTCGCATTTCACCGCTATCTGTTCTGCGTCTGGTGACCTTGAGCATTCGTTCGCTCTCCTCCGGAGTTTCTCGTTCTGATCCAGCATGCCAGTCAACTCTCGATCCAAGAAAGGCCGACCCAAGCTCGCCAAGAGATTCGACAAACGCAAGAAAGCCGGTGTCGGCCTGGCAGCCAGTCCGGCATCGCCCCGGGGGATTCTAGCACAAGCACGGAGAAGGAGTCTTCAGAGGAAGCGCGATCGGGGCGATTTCGGAGTTGCTGCGAACACCACCAAATTCAAGGCGGCAGGGACTCAGCTCCGGGCAGCATGGCAGCCTTCTAAGTCAAGAAAGATACCGATTCTTCCGCCTTCTTCGGATGCTTTGGAAAAGGTGAGATTGCAGTAAATGTCCCTTTTCGTGAGGGGCGGGGAAGGAGGTTGCTGAGGGGAACTATAACTCCGTCGTCGAGAGTCCTCGACTCCGCCCTTGCATCTTGATCCTGCGGCTCCCGGCGCAGACACATAATGGGAAGGGTATAGATCGCTAACAATACGCCAACTCATCCAGAACTGCCTCCGTCAAGACCCGTGTCCCCAGAACTATACTTTCGTCCCCAAGGGCGATGTCTACATTACACGTCATTGCCGCAGTAAGACCAAAGAGGCTCGTCAGGTTGTCTATGTAGTCTATGTGAGTTGGCCCCTTTGCCCCCTCTCTGTTTTCCCCATGGCAACCACATGGTTACTAACACACCCTTAGGACGACAAAGGAAAGTCCACCATAGGCCTGCGTGTCCCGTCCGATATCTTCGAGTCCGTCCGCAGCTCCGCAGCGGAAACAGCCAAGTCTCGCGCTCAGGCCGTCCAGAGTCGAGATGAGCGAGACTCTCTTAAGGCCCGCCAGCTTCTTCGCACCCAGTTTCCTCTCATGCCGGAGAACGTGCTGGAGACAATTGTCAACCATGCCTTCTTGAAAGGTGCTGGCCGCGTAGGACGCGCCACCACCGTGTCGGACAAGCGCAAGGCCATCTTGGCTGCGGAAGCGCATATCCGTCACACACAGACTCCATACGATTCCCTTCTTCACTCGGGCCTGGCAAGGGAGGAAGCGCGCGAAGCGGTCTTCGGACTAGTCCGGGCCATTCGGGCTGCATGGGAGGGCGGTGATCCGGAGACGCTGAAGAAGGCCCTCGCGTTGCGTAATCGAGCAAAATGATGTCCATCCGCCGTCTTCTTGCCTTTTTGATTTCCTGGATTCCGCTGTGGGACTGTTCTCGGTCCGTTTCTGGTTCTTGCGTGCTCGACGAATGTGCTTTTCGGATCAACTCGTGCGTTTAGCATTAGACTTGGGAGAGGTCGCAACACCTCGCATAGATGATACCTCTAGTTGCCATTTTTGTTCCTTTTTGTGTCATTTCGGGCTATGGAGTTGGGGATGCACATGACGCTTTACGAGGGGTACACTGTGTGCTTGATTAGAATCTACTACAAGCTCAGGCTAATGATACTTCATTTTTGCATCATCAGCTTTACATCTTCATTATAAGAAAAAAAAAACATTTGTTCTAGAATTGTCTACATTAAAAATGAAACTTTGTACACCCAAGAATCGTAGCAAGAGTGTACAAGAATACAACTTAAAACGAAGTGAACAGGTCCGGTGAAGAAGGAGCAAAGAAACAGTCGACGGAAGCTTACAATGGCAGCTGCTTAAGGATTCTACTTCAACGCATCCTGCAGGAGCCAGGCGATGCGTGCAAGCACCGCGTCCTCGTCAACATCGAGCGGCACAACATCATCGTCACTGTAAATGATGGGATTCTCCTCGTCCTCGTTCTCACCGGCGCTCTCGGGATCATTACGATCATCACCAGAGCGTTCCGGCTCGCTAGGACAGCACTCCTCTGCTTCGTCAAAGGACTCCTCGTCGTCCGTCCACTCGGAATCAACCTCCTCTTCCTCCTCTTGCATCGGCAGCCCATCCTTCACGATCCGAGCCGACACCAGCCCTCTAGCGGCCGCGTACGAATAGCGTCCCGTGCTATCAATCTCTGCAATGATCTCCTCAATACCGGCGACCAAATTCTCCAGCACGTCAGCAGGCTCGTGGACAGTGGTCACCGCCACCACGAACTCCATCTTGACAGTGAAATCGTTCAGCACATCGAAGTCATCATCCTCACTGTCGACATCAGCGTGGACGCTAGACCCCTCGACACTCTTCTCATCACAAGCCGCATAGCCCTCCTCCTCCTCTTCCTCCTCCTCTTCCTCCTCCTCTTCCATTTCCTCATAATCATCACTCTCACTCTCACTCCCCTCAGAGTCCGAATCCGACTCAGAAGAAGAATTAAAAGGCGGGGGCTGATAGATCCTGAGCACCGGCATGGGAAGCTCGTATCCCGCGGTAATCAACGCGAGAAAGCGGCGCCGGAGCACCTCGCGCGCGGCGACGAAGTACCGGCGCTGCGCGAGGTCTGAGTCCCTGTTAGCTGTGATGATGAAGTTGAGAAATGAGACGGGCACGGTGACTTGCTCATCGCCCATCTCGGTTCGGTGCCAGAACATCCCCGCCTGGCGGAAACGCTCGCTGCGCTGTATCTGGCGTGGGGTTGGGGGAGACATGGTTGGATGTTGCTGCTATGGGTCACTTTTTGTGTTACTTGCAACTGTTTTGGACTGGGTTCCCTATCAGAAGACGGGGGGAGAGGGTGTGAGGGTGTGAGGGTTGAGGGCTTATTTATATTGTCTTTCAAATTTGGGAGGGATATATGGGGTTCATTACTGATTTCTTTTTCTTTGGGTTCCTTGGAACAGTGGAGTACATGGTGGAAGAGCTTAGAGGAGTACTTCTGTTATCTTGAAATCTTGCCTTATGTGCTGTGCGGTGAAGGTCTTTTTTGTTCTTGGAGGATTTAAGAGGAGATAATCTTTGGGTTTGTCATGGAGTTGGCTTGGGGGAATTGGATTTCTTGGTGATGTATGGGCATATTTCTCTCCTTGAACTGCTGATTCTTGGTTGCCATATCTTTGTAGAACAGATGATAGTAAATTAATCGAAGTACACCGGTTCTCAAGTCTTTGGGCGGTTCGCTTTGCGTACTGAGTGAGTGATGGTTCGAGATTGTCTGGACATGATAGCAACTGCACGCAATTAATTGAATCAGTTTTTTGGTGGGCTAATCCCGACTGGTTGCATGCACTGAGTCCCCAAGTGCTGTGTAGGTTCTTCTTGTACCGTTTGAGATAGCCAGCCTAATTTCGCATACAGGGATTTGAAGTCGGATCCATCTAGTCTTGATGGATCCATGAAGGACCACGGTGGTCTATACTTCTGCCCGTCGAGGACTAGACCGATCTACAACTCATCCCGATCGGGATTTCCCTTTAGGGCTAGCCCCCGCGCTCTAACTCAATCCAGCCAAGCAAAACGTGACGGTAACTTTCTGGAGCTCCGCATTCTTCATGACTTTAATCCCGCCCGGTCTCTCCAACTCCGCTTTATTTTTATTTGCAAAAGCAGCCATTGCAATGGAGGGCGCCGACGTGATTGAGTCGCCGCGCAAGCGCATCAAGACTGACAACCCGCCCACCACGGACGACGCTGTGCTTCCCCAGGCCGGCGGACCCGTTGCGGAGGAACCCGCCGCCGCGCCAGTCTCGGCCGATGATGCGCAGGCTCGAAGGGAGATCGAGGTTGGAATCACCGGCTATGTCAGTGCGGACAACGAAGGATTCTCCGGTATTCTGAAGAAGAGGTATGCTCTGTTCCCTTCATAACTTGTCTGGGGTCGTCACTAATTATATCTCTTCGCATCTAGATACACCGATTTCCTCGTGAACGAGATTGTGCCGTCCGGTGAAGTGCTGCATCTGCAGAATGTTCCCGTTCAGGAGAAGAAGCAGAATAAGGAGGAACAGTCCTCGGAGAAGCCAACCGCAAAGCCCCAGCCGGAGGACGGCGCCCAAGCTACAGCTGAGAAAGATGCAACGCCGACCGCCGAAATTCCCGCCCCCGAGTTCCAGATCAGCGATGAAGACAACGCGCTTCTCGAATCCCTTTTCGGCGAGGAACCCACACAGAAGATCCTGGCGCTGAACAAACGCGCTCTTGAGAACCCGAAGTCGAGGCCCAGCGACTTCAGCAAGATCGCTACCGTCGTGGTCACCGATCGCGATCTGCGGATCAAGATGCACCAAGCCATTCGTCGCATCTTCAACTCTCAGCTCGAGTCCCAGACCGACAGTGAGGGCATGATGAACATCTCCGTCGCCCCGAACCGGAACAACAAGAAGGCGCAGGGTGGACGCGGTAATGGCAACGGCGGGCCGCGTGTTCCGATCAACTGGGATGAATTGGGCGGCCCCTACCTGCACTTCACCATCTACAAGGAGAACAAAGATACCATGGAGATTCTGAATTTCATTGGACGCCAGCTCAAAGTGAACTCGAAGACCTTCCAATTCGCCGGTACCAAGGATCGACGCGGTGTGACGGTCCAGCGGGCGTGTGCGTACCGAGTGCAGGCCGAGCGGCTTGAGAAAATCAACCCTACTCTCCGTAACGCAGTCCTCGGTGATTTTGAGTATCGCAAGCATGGTCTCGATCTGGGTGATCTCAACGGCAACGAATTCGTGATCACCCTCCGCGACTGTGAGATTCCCGGAGTCGTCGACCTTCAGGACCGCGAAGCCGCCATCGCCAAGTCCACCGACCTTGTTAAGACTGCCCTACACAACCTCCGCGAACGAGGCTACTTCAACTACTTCGGTCTGCAACGCTTCGGAACCTACGCCACGCGCACGGACACCGTCGGCGTCAAGATGCTTCAAGGCGACTTCAAGGGCGCCTGCGACGCCATCCTCCATTACAGCCCGCACACCCTAGATGCCGCGCAACAGGGAGAAGCCGCCTCCGCTCTAATCAGCTCCGACGACCGCGCGCGCGCCGAAGCGATCCACCTCTACACGACCACCGCCAACGCCGGCAAGGCGCTTGAGAAACTGCCTCGCAAGTTCTCCGCCGAGGCCAACATCATGCGCCAACTGGGCCGCTCGAAGACCGACTACCTCGGCGCCCTCCAGGCTGTGCCCCGTAATCTGCGCCTGATGTACGTCCACGCCTACCAGTCGTTTGTGTGGAACTTCGCTGCCACCGAACGCTGGCGGTTGTACGGCGACAAGGTCGTCGAAGGCGACCTCGTCCTGATCCACGAACACACCGACAAGACCTCCTCGTCCGCCGCCAACGCCACCGGCGCTTCCGCAGCCGCGACTACCGAACCGGCCGACGAGACCGTTGACGCCGATGGCGAAGTCATCATCACGCCCCATGCAACCGGCGACAGCGCCTACGCGGCCGAGGGCATCACGCGCGCCCGCGCCCTTACCGCCGAGGAAGCCGCCAGCGGCAAATACAACATCTTCGACGTCGTGTTGACGCTTCCTGGATACGATGTGCTGTACCCGGCCAACGCCATGACGGATTTCTACAAGCAGTTCATGGGCAGTGAGCAAGGCGGTGGCCTCGATCCCTTCGATATGCGCCGGAAGTGGAAGGACGTGAGTCTCACGGGCGGATACCGCAAGCTGTTGAACCGCATGGGGCCGGACTATTCGGTCGATGTGAAGGTCTACGAGAGGGATGATGAGCAGTTCGTGGCGACCGATCTGGAAAGACTTCAGGGTCCGAGCAAGGATGGAGCTGATGCTGATGCTGCTCAGGAGCAGGGGGAGAGCAAACTCGCTGTGGTGCTCAAGTTCCAGCTTGGATCGAGCCAGTATGCAACCATGGCGTTGAGGGAGTTGACGAAGGGCAAGGTCAAGGCTTACACGCCTGATTATGGGAAAGGGCGGTAATTGTATAGATCTAAAAGTTTATTCGAGTGTATATATGCGCATTGGAAAATAGAGCGATTTATTGGAGGGCTAGATTCGAAATAGCAAATTTTTCCGCTGTAGGCATAGTGTGCATAGAGCCTTATCCCACGAAACTAAGCTCGAAGGAATTCAACCTTTCCGAGGTCAAGTGCAAGTGCCCGGTGCCTAGTGCTTCCCTCCTAATGCAGCCTTGGGTGGCTGTGTTGGCAGAAGGCAGCCGTGAAACACGGAGTCAAACAACAACAACAACAACAACAACAACAACAACAACAACAACAACAAATCAAGCTTACACCCTCTTTCTAAATCGTTGCTGTTCTCACCCAACTCCCATACGACACAACGCAGTGCACTGTACTTGGAATTTGACCCTTGTATCATAGACCTCGATCTCAACCTCAACTTCCATGTTGACGATTGAACGATAACCTCGCCCCGCAGAGGCCGTGCGATCACAACCGATTCAAAAGCAGCCGGGCTCCATAATCCAGGGCATATCAGGGCCACGCAATGCGCCGACGTCTCCAGACCCCCATCACTCCAAGCTAATGCGTCGATCAGGCTATTCAGTGGAGAACCCCATTCAGTCCTTCAACCATCCACAATCGACCTAAAATTCCCACGCGCTCATTGACACATGATTAAGGAGGCAAAGCATTCCTTTGTTGCCATTTATTCCATACGTCGACCGGTTCCCCCTCCATGGTTTCAACCCTAGCATGTGCCAGTTGTACAAGTACACTAGTAGTACATCTTCTTCCACTCCCAACATGCGTTCGGCGCCAATCATTCCGACTGGTGAGGAGGATGGAGAGGGGGGGGTTGGTTTATGGGGCTAACAATGCTGTTCGTTTCACCCTCGTGAGCGGGCAGGATACTATTCTTATTATTGCATTGCGCGTCGTTCATGGCATGTACCGGCGCTTTACGCCGTGCAAGCTGGTGGTGATTGGTAGGGGAGGCGGGCGCGGGCTGTACTTCCTTAGCCCTCAGAAGTTGGGCTCTAGGCTGGTGTACTATACCTCGTTCACTAAGAGGACGCTGCTGCGCCATGTCAGCTCTCTCTCTCTTTTTTTTCTTCTAGGCTGTTGTTTCCGACTTTCGTTTCTTCTTTTTATTTTTTTTTCTTTTGTGATTCTCTGATTCTTGCCCTTCCTTTTACTCGATATTATTGTAGAGACTTTCTATCCGGGCAATTTCTAGGTGCATAGTGTTCATTGTGGTGAGTATATGCTGGTTCTTTGTATTTTTCTTTGACCAGGTACAGTGTACTGACATAAGCATCTGAGCAGGAGGGCTCTTTTATTTCAGGGTCTCTTGATCTTTGTATGTTGATATGTCTGGCTTCAGACGCATGTTGAGACGTTAACTGTTGTTAGTCTGTGTGCACCGTCGACACTGACCTAGCATCTTGAGATCTCTACTTGCTTTCTTCGTGTTGGGTCTATATTGGAAATTCTCTCGGTGGTGCTATATAGTACTTATCGATCTGGCTTGGCGTATCTTATCGACATCGCTGGGCGATTCTGTTCGGTCAACAACGACAGGCGTGGATGGTTAGACCAGTCGATCACTGTCGCTGTCATGTCTGGAATGGGTAGTGGAAGCCAATGGTCAGGAGGAGGTGGCACAGGTGGATCTCAGGATGGCAGTCAAGGCAGTTGGGAAGGCACCGACAGCAGTGGCAGCAGCGGCAGCACATCCCAGGCCGGGGAAAATGCATCGCCCTCGGAGTCTATCGCCGCCAGCGCGACGACACCTACAGCAGCCGACTCTTTTCTCACAGCTACCCAGACCAGTAATCCATCACCCACAACATCAACAACCACGTCTTCCACGTCGACTTCCTCTGCTAGCAGCAGCAACGGCAGCAACGCCAAAACCCTCGCCATCGCCATCCCTGTTGCTGTCGCGGGCGCAGCCATCATTTTGAGCCTGCTATTCTTCCTCCTCCGACGGAGGCGCCGTCGTGTTCGAGGCCATGTCATCCCATCTACTTCTCAGATCGATGTAATAACCGTCCCTCGACAACCAATACTACCCCAACCGCAGCAGAACTTACCGAGATCGCAACCACCCCAAGCGACACCCTGGGGATTCACCAACGCTAGTACTCATAACATTCCCTTCACGGGACCTATACCATACGACACCTCGAACCACTCGAGCGACCACCTCGCTACAAGCCAGTCACGCAGCCTTGGTGCACCTGCTAGTCAGCACAGCCTAGCACCAGGGATCAACACCACGCTGGACCAGCCACCGCCATATTCCAGGCATCCGGAGCGTGCGGAGGCAGACATATCACCCGTGACGAGTACCGACGTTCCATCACGGCAAGTGTCGAGGCGCGAGCGGCCGACATCCCCGTTTGACCATCCCCTAGATGACACGGTCTCTGAGATTTCGAGATACAGTAGAGGGCCATCCCTGGTCCACCGCGCGAGTCTCGACGAGATCTCCTCTGTCTCGTCGATGGGTGATGATGAAAGGCGGCCAGCGATGCGTCATTGATTTTAAGGTGAGGGGCTTTGTTTTCGCTTTGGGATGTTCGAAATTTGGCGGGCGTTTGGGCTTTGATGGGGCAGTCCCTCGTCACCACAGCGGTATCCGGCCTATCCTCCTGGCCGACAACCTACATATACTTAATTCTGCATTTGCCTCGGACCACAGACGAACAATATGGGATGCGCAACGGTGTGGTATCTATACACACCACTGACATCAATTCATTAATTTTATCGATGTGATTGCGACACTATACCTAGGCGATCTCTCAATTCTACGCAGGACCAGGCCCCATCCTCCCCATGACGTATCGAGTGAGTTGGTCATGACAGCGACGTCCCTGCTGTGCAATCCTCATTGAGCCTAAGATCAAGTCTCAATACATCAACCGGGTCCCATAGCTCAGTTGGTTAGAGCGTAACGCTAATAACGTTAAAGTCGAGGGTTCGAGCCCCTCTGGGACCAGCTCTTTTTTGACTTTACTGGTTATCTTTTTATGGTATATGGTTCCGGTGGATTGTCGCTGCCTATCCCTGGGACTGATCCCTGGTACTGTGGAATTACTGCCGTATCCAAGGCAAACAAACAATGGACGTTCATCACCCAGAATAGAGATGATCAAATAGCTTTTTCTTTTGAGTAATTAACTACTCAGTACGCTATTAATGGAACATCCGGCGAAGCCGTCCATAGAATTTGCTTATACCTAAAATGAATCATTAGCATTTTTCCACTAACTTAACCGGGTAGTTGGCGGTGCACGAGAGGGTGCCACTCAGTATTACGGCACCTACAGGGCTTAGACCTGCGTCTACCCGCCAATGGGCCGGCTCCACCCTCCTCCATCCTCCACCCTGATGATATCACCACCGTCAGGGTCCGACTGTCGTGTGTGGCTGGTGACATCCTAATTCATCCTCCAAAGCCAATGATTGAGCTTCCAACTGCTGGACCTTGTGGGTAGGATTGTCGCAATGCGTTCATTTCCCCTCTTTACAGGGCCTATTCGGCCGCGGTTCAACGGGACATGGCCGCCACTGCATCCACTGATCATCCTACTGCCACACACACCCCCGTCCCCTGGGCCTGCTAACAATGCAATTCTGCTGCCTTCCGGGGCAGGCCCGTTGCAAATTCTTCTCCCCTCCCCCAGTATATCATCGCCTGTACCCCCTAAAACCCGTGGCATTTCAGCTCAAGAAGTCTCGAGACTTGTTCACTAGCTTCAAACACCAATCAATCCGCTCGGGCAATACACCACAGGCCAGTTGGTTGCCCTGACACAGGTTCATATACAATAAACAAACAAGCCTATTGTTTTTAAAGGACTAGAGCAGGAGCCATCGACTGCCAGCATGGGTGTTGGCGGTGTCATCCTCCGCTTCGCGAATCTCGCGATTCGCATCCTCCAGTTCCTCGATGCCGCAGTCATCCTCGGCATTTTCTCATACTTCCTCGCCGTCCTCGCCCGCCATGATCAGACGATCCCTCAATGGATGAAGGCCGTCGAAGGCCTATCGGGTGCAGCGACCCTCTACGGCATTCTCGGCATCCTTTTCACCTGCTGTCTGGGTGGAGTCACCTTCTTTGCTGCTGTGGCCGTCCTCCTCGATGTCTGCTTCATCGGGGCCATGATCGCCATCGCCATCATGACTCGCAAAGGCACCCAGAGCTGCTCCGGCAACGTCGACACGCCGCTGGGCTCCGGTGCCAGCAATACCGACGACGCCAACACTCACGTGCGTCTTGGGTATGCGTGCGTGCTGGAGAAGGCTTCATTTGCTGTCGCTATTATTGGAATGTGAGTCGCCCCACTCTTACCTCGAGCGTTATCGAGTGTAATATGTGTGTGTGCTAACATTGTATCCAATATAGCTTCCTATTCCTGATCTCCATCCTCTTCCAAGTTCTTCTCGCCCGTCACCACAAGCGCGAGAAGCGCTTCGGCCCCTCCCCCGCCAACGGGTACACATACGGCACCGGCACGCAACGCCGGGGCTTCTTCTGGCGTCGCAACAAGAACAACCCGGAGACCGCCAGTGCGGATGACATGCTCCCCACTCATCCGGCGCCCCGCGACGTTGAGCGAGGAACCTCTCCCACCGAGAAGACCAGCGGTACGGGTGGTCTGTTTACGCGCAACAAGCACACCGCGCCGGAGGCTGCAGCTCCTCCTGGCTACGGCTATGGCAATTCTGCTTACTCGGCTAACTACTAGACACTGCACTATCCTTCCATGCATTGTGTGGTCAATTCCGTATACTCTATGACGCAAGACCCGCAAAGGAGGAGGCACTAGTTGCTTCGTGGACGAATATGATGAGACAACGAATTCTTGGGAATGCCATTCAAACTACGTAGTATGGCGTCTCATGGGGATAAAACTCCCGGTTTGCTTCACGTTTGACTTGAGTGGATGACTGGGAATGACAGTATGAAACTCATTCTTTCATCTTACCAACCTTGACACCGTCAAGCACAATTTTGTATATCAATCTTTCTTAGGATTACTACCTATCTAATTTTTCTCTTATATATGTCTTATATGGCTCTTTCTTTAAGCTTCGTGTGTCTTTCCGAGCACTCCACTTGTACTCCAGGATTCTGATGTGTCGCGCGCACGCGTCCTCCCCCTGCTCGCGTTGTCCGCCTTCTGAAAACCGGAGCAAACAAGCCTTTTAAGAGTACACACTCCGGTTCCGCCCCACTTCTTCCACACACCTTTCTCCATTCCTTTTCTCCATCTCATAGGGCTCTTTGCTTTGCAACCCATCTATCGCAGTCATGCTACCTGACTTCTTGCAGAGCAGTTACGCCCGCTATAAAGCGGACACCAACACATTTGCAACATGGCTACTGGAGACAGCTAATCGATGCGGCTATCAACCGCCTACCCTCTCTGCTACCCTCCCCACCGCGACGAAAAGAGACAAACGCAAAGGCAAGAAGGGCGACTCTGACGCAGAGCCCGTTCAGTATAGTGCCACCACTAAAGATCTGCAAAAGTTCGCCGAGGTCGTGGCCGTTTCGGCTCTCCCAGTACCCAAGTCGGTCCTCGCCCTTGCGAAGCGCGCCATCAAGCTGAGAAAAGCGGTCACATCCTGGTTTTTGGGCCAGGGTGACTCTGCGACCAACAAGCGTCATGCCCATTTCATCACGGCGCTGGAGCAGATCTGCGAGACTCTGGAGTGGAAGACCAACCAGTCCTCAACGAAGCCGGACGCTAAGCAGCCTCAAGCCGATGACGTCGATGCCGACCAATTTCTAAACAGATTTGCGGTCCTCACGGTGGAGGAGCCCAAGGACACGGCGCCGTCGCAACCGAAGCCCACAGTGTCTAAGAAGCTCGTCAAGGTTACCGTCAATGAAGAAGAGGACGAGGACGAGGACGCAGCGGACTCGTACCTGGGCCAGCTGTTCTTCAAGACCCTTTGCTTGCTGCAGGATCTGGACAACATGCGCAAGTTCATTTCCATCACCTGGGCGGAGTATCACGAGAAGAAGATCGACCTCATGAATGCCGCTGTCGTGACGGACAGTGCTTTGCAACTTGCCTAAGATCTGGTCAAGGAGGTGGAGGCGGACTGGCGCACCTCTCTGTCCGGGCGGAAGGGGGATGTCCAGACTGTGGTCTACAATCTTGCTGCTCTCTCGCGCGGCATCTTTGCACCGCCGTCCATGGAGGTTGGCCTGCCCTACAACGAGAACCTGGCGAATACCGCTGAGTGGTGCTATTTGCCAACAAAGATCCTGCTTGAGTCTTTCTCAAACGTGCTTCAGGCGAATCACCAGCCAGTCTTCAGAATGGGCCACTTCGGCATTTATGATCCGAAAGCGGACAGAGGGCGGATGTCTCTGGGCCAAAAGTTCAACGAAGACAAGATCATCCTTCTCTCGATATTGCCAGAGTTTTGCATGTTCAATACGTTCGGCATCCACTTGCCTGCGGAGGATTCAATCACTCGGGGCCTGGTTGAGTTCGCTAAGACCAAGAAGGTGAGTCTGTGGCTCTGTTTCGCCGCCCAGGTCTTCCTCGACGTTCACCATGCAATGCGACACAGCACTCTGGGCGCATTTGGAGATCTCCGCATGTCCGGACTTCGCATCCAGAAGACCATCGATGATTACCTGCAACTATCTAAGACGCACCCTCAGCCCAAGTTCTGGCCTAAGGAGGGTGATGAGGAGATTCGGAGCATCAGTTCAACCGTGGACGCATGGATCAAAGGAGATGTGTTCTTCAATGTTCGAGCCTTGTCTAAACTGGACAGGGTTGGCACTCCGCCCGAGAAGCATGCGCTCTTCTCGCAGCACGCTCTCCTCTGCGGCTTGGTCCTGTTCCACCTCAATATTCGAATGCAGCGTGTGGGCCAGGAGCTTGTCACCCGGTGGTACGACGTTCAACAGCTGGCCTTCTTGCACAACCTTGTCATAAATGGTGCCATGCATAAAGACCTGAGGTGGCCCGACATGGATGCATTTGTCAAGATCCATGGCGAGTCTCATATTTTCGTGGGTGCACGGCCCAAGAACGCCAGCGAATCTCTGAATAGGCTTGAGCTGGCCACCGGCATCTCGTCCGCAACCCATTTCGCCCGCAATTCGCGGGGCAGCGGACCATTCCATAAGCCCGATGGCAAGAACGCTCGCATGCTCAAGCCCACCACTACCGTCGCGAACTTGTTTTTTACTCAGTATGTTAGTGGTGGTGGTCCTGGCGAGGATGTCGGGATCGTGCACATCGACAGCATCCTGGACGAGCTTGCCCAAAAGTCGAAGCTTGAATCGTCCTCCAGCAAGAAGGAGCTCCAGCAGCGAGCCAACCCGGAATTGATGCTCACCCGACAGTGGTCGAATTCCCACATCATCGACACCCTGCAGCTGCTCGCCTTCCTGAAGACCAAACTCTTCGAAGAGGAGACGATGATCCTGTACAACTACTTCGGCATGCACAAACGCTCCCTCGAGCTCCTGCGCCTGATCCGCAGCAAGGAGCACCACAAGTTCGTCCAGTACTTCACCGAAGGATACATGCCCGACGAGTCCTTCATCTCCAACATCGTCCTCCTCATCCATCACGTTGCGTGCGGCTCGGCCCAGTCGGCGCGTGCCATGGGACTGAGATCCGGCGACGGGCAGGAGCTGGTGAGTCGCATCCGTCATGAGCGCGGGCGACGTCATGCGGGACTACCTGAAGAAGAATGGGGATGTGGCCTGCAAGGAGCTGCGGGTGTTCTGCAAGAACAAGAAGCCCATCCAGGATGATTCGGCATACGATGCGGGCGATTCGGACGCGCTGATAGGTTACTGGTTCAGCCTGGAGGATGTGCTGGGCCCCAAGGGGATGGCCTCGCTGATGACGGGGATTCCGGTGGCCTAGGCTGATCGATCTGAAGCTGTACTCGTAATATCTTCAATAGCTTCCTGCTATTGTATCATATCTAACGGGACTATTTTTCCACTCGAGGATTATTTTTTTCCCAAAATAATAATATAGTTCTATGGGAGACATTCTCTTAAGGGGTCATTTAGCGCCTGCAGTGTAATTTATCGTGGTGTTGTACTAGATCTGCTGTGATCTATCGGCGATCCTTCCGGGATGCAGGAACCGCGGCGCCGAACCATGCTTAGTGCCCGTGACTAGTGCCCTGCCTAAGGCTTCTCTCGTCTAGCCTGGAGCCCCGGCCTCGACATCTTTTCTTCCTTGACTCTCTGTTGCATCATACCCTCTGTATTTCGTCCCGATTAAATCCCTGCGCAACAACGATGATGATGATGATGCTGCATGGGATCCCCGCCCAACAGACCTGTTTTGCCTAGATTTCTTTGTCTTTTTTTGTTTGACGATGCGCCTGAGGACCTGTCTCACTTAGAGCCTTGGAATTCTATTTTTCTTAGAATTCCTGCCCTGCTAGATGTATTGGCGGGGGTCTGCTTCGCCCAGGCAGTGGAGGATCGATCGCGCTCTCCAATATGCCGGACGCGGCCAGGAATCTGGCTCTGGCTCCTCCCGCCAGGTTCGCCACCCCTCATCAGCGGCGAATTTGCTTTTCGCAATTACACAATCGCAGAGATCCTACCGCTCCCTAGGCTTTATTGCTGGCAGGCGCCTCTTGTCGTACTCAAGCAGACCTGCCACACCTTCCCTGTCTCCTACCTCCCCGTCACGCATTGTGACCCCATCCATTGTCGCAACCTTTACCCCGTCTCGCCCATTATCCGGAGCTGCGAGTGAGCTTCTCGAGTCTCCGGCTGCTGACGAAATGGCCGCCGCCACTGAGATAAAACCCAACGGCGCAGGCGGCAGTCTGCCTGACGGCGCGGAGAAACCGGGCATCAAAGCTGAAGTTGGGTCCATTGAGACGAGCGATGCTGGCACTGTGGCGTCTGCTGCCCCCTTGGATCCGGAGTCGGATGAAGATGTCCCCGTTGAAGCGGAAGAGCTGCAAGACGCGTTGTCGCGGCCTCCGCCCGTCCACAGCAGCTACCTGCCCCTCCCCTGGAAAGGGCGATTGGGCTATGTGAGTTCGCTCTCCGGCGTGTGTCTGTCGTCTGTCCTCTAACATGATTTTCGTAGGCTTGTTTGAACACGTACCTGCGGTACTCGAACCCGCCTGTCTTCTGCTCTCGAACCTGCCGCATCGCCTCCATTTTGGAGAATCGGCATCCTCTCCTGGACCCCACGCAACCCCCCCATCCGACGAAAAATCGCCCGGACCGCGATCAGCCGGCTGATGTGGCACGCGGGCAGGCGTATGTCGAGGCTCTAGGGCTCACGAACGCGAAGGATCTTCTCAAGATCATCCGCTGGAATGACAAGTATGGGATCAGGTTCATGCGGCTGAGCAGTGAGATGTTCCCGTTTGCGAGTCACAAGGAGTATGGCTACAAGCTGGCGCCGTTTGCCTCGGAAGCGCTGGCCGAGGTCGGTCGACTCGTCGCCGAGCTGGGTCATCGCGTGACCACCCACCCGGGCCAGTTCACCCAACTCGGCTCGCCGAATGACGGCGTGGTGGAGAACTCTCTGCGGGACTTGGATTATCACTCTGAAATGCTGCAGTTGCTTCGACTGCCCCCGCAGCAGGACCGCGATGCAGTCATGATCCTGCACATGGGCGGTGTCTTCGGTGATAAGCAGGCTACTCTCGACCGGTTTCGAGAGAACTACCAGGCTTTGCCGCAGGATGTCAAGAACCGACTTGTGCTCGAGAACGACGACGTCAGCTGGTCGGTGCACGATCTCTTGCCCATCTGCGAGGAGTTGAACATCCCTCTTGTTCTGGACTTTCACCATCACAACATCATCTTCGACGCGACACAAGTCCGCGAGGGGACGCAGGATATTATCGGTCTGTATGACCGGATCAAAGCGACCTGGACGCGGAAGAACATCACCCAGAAGATGCATTACTCCGAGCCCACCGCGGCCGCCATCACTAACCGACAGCGTCGAAAGCACAGCGACCGTGTGTCCACCCTTCCTCCGTGCGATCCGACCATGGATCTCATGATCGAAGCCAAGGACAAAGAGCAGGCCGTGTTCGAGCTGATGAGGACTTTCAAGCTACCAGGCTATGAGCTCTTCAACGACATGCTACCTTACATGCGCACGGACGAGAACAAACCATTCAAGCCTCCGAGGAAGACGAAGAAGAAGGAGGGATTTGTCGATCTCGAAGGTCAAGTCCCCCCTGAACGGACAGTTCCGGAAGAGGAGGTCGGCATGGGCGGACCCCAGCGAAGAGTGTACTGGCCGCCCGGCATGGAGGAATGGCTACGACCGAAGAAGGTCGTTCGCAAAGTCCCTCAGAGCCCACGGAAGACACCGGTCTCGAAGAAGACGAAGGACGCCGCCAATGCCGACTCACCGTTGCCGAAAGGCGAGCCGGAAGCCAACGGCGAAGAGAACGGGGCGCCGGTCACACCAGCCTCCAAGGCCACGCGGCGGGTCCAGCGGACCCCCAGTGTCAAAAAGCCGACATCCAGGAAACGGAAGGCTTCGCCCATCGCTTCCACGCCGTCTGCTTCGGACGTGGACATGGAAAACCCCGATGTCCCGGAGCCACCGGAGCTTACCCGCACGAAGGGGGCTGGGGTCCGCCGTAGTAGGCGGGCGAAGACGGTGAATTATACCGAGGACCCTGATTCGGCTTGATGTCCGTCAGGTCGTCTAGCTACGGCGTAAAGTCTGTTGGGCGCCTGCAGCTGCAGCTGCAGATTAACCGTGCACGAGAACAGCCGTGCATTAGGCATGCGGACATGCACCTCCGAGATGCGGAAGATTTATGGAGTTCTTGACGAGCATCTGAGTTTTGCTTCCTCCTGCCCAGCGGTGGGGTTATGTCGCACAGCAGGGGTAGAGGTACTGGTTTTTCAGTTGCCGGTTGATCGGACCTCGCAGCGTCCTGTGAACAGTCACTGGGTGGTTATACGCTATCTAGTATGGCTCGATCATAGAAAGAGTGTACAGTAGTATATATAAGGATCAGCTAGAGATTTGCTTAATGGTAATGTGACGATTTACCTACGAGGTTACTCCAGAGTCTAGACAAAGCCATCGATAGTAGGGAAATGATAGAGATGTTCCCAATCGGGCCAAGTGTGTGTGTCTCCACCGCGGGTTTCTTCCGGCCGTCAGCTTGACGTTGCGGTGCGCTTCGAGGCCCTCGCCCTGTTTTACCCCCTTCAGACGCTCAATTCTGAGACTTGTGACCTAGATCATGTCTTGATTTCTCTTGCTGAATTTCCGCAGTCTGTACTTTACAGCTGCTAGTCCTTCGTTCATGTCAAATCTCGATGATTATCAAAGAGATGCAACCACCTTGACAAGATCTCTCTAGACACTCGCTGCTTATCCCCGAGGAAGTTCGTCGTTCGTCATCGCCTCCACACAAAACGAGCCCAGCCCCCAGCCCCATCAACTTTCAAACCTCCAACCCACCCTCCAGCGATTCAACTCCATTCTTCCGTCCTTCATCACATCCACACAACCCAAGCGATACCGCACTTACACCCAATAAACCATCTTGAAAAGAGAAGAGCAAAAAACCGTGGCTCCCAAATTTCTCCCTCGCTCCTCCTCCTCCTCCTTATCCTCCCGCCGGCGCGCGCCCCCGCCCCCTACACCCACCACCACACCCACCACCAAACGACCCCTCCCCTTCCTCCTCCGTCGCAATCGCCCTCTCCTCGCCCCTCCACCGTTACAATCCTCCGCCCGCAACCCTCTTCGACCCAAAACCCGCCTCTGGACCCTCCTCTTAGGCCCGCACTCGCTCCGCCGCGCCCAGCTCCGCCTCTGGAGTCTCCGCCACGAAACCCTCCCGGCGCTCCGGCACCGCGCCCAGGCCCGCGTCTACCGGGCGATCGTCAGGCGTCAGGCCCGCAAGCTTGCGCAGGTTCGGTTCGGTGATTCACGGGGTGGTGGCGGCGGTGGGGTTCTAGGGTATTTGTTGGGTGGTAGGAGTAGGCGGGGACGGGTGTCTGCTTCTGCGTCTACGGCTACGGCTACGGCTGCGACGGGTGCGACAGCTGCAACGACCATGTCACAATACGAGCCCACCACCTCCTCCTCCTATGGGGGGGGCGGCGCCCCTCGCGGCGCGCGCCGCAAGAAGGTCTACGATTACCTCAAGGCGGCGAACGAGCTGCGGCAGACGTATGCGGCGCAGTGGGCGGCGCAGTTGAATGGGCAGGGCGGGCCGCAGCAGCGGGATTACGGTGATGCGTACTACACGGGCGATGCGCCGGGGGCGTTTCCGGATGTGGAGATTGCGCGGTCTGGGTTGGAGGAGATGGTGATTTTTCCGAGTTATGGGCGGCGGATTGTGAGGGATGATGCTAGAGCCAGAGGTGGAGAGGCGAGGGGGGCAGGCGATGATGAGGGTGATGTTGTGGGCGGTGATGACCCGTGGGCGAGGCGGAGGGGCTCGAATGCGACGATTGATGAGTATCGTGGTCTCGACACAGACCAAAATACGGTGGCCGGGTTTGATGACTATGTGGAGAAGAATGCGGTCGTCTCGGTGGATGTGCGCGGTTGGCTCTATGCGCCGCATCGCGGGCCGATGACGCGGAAGCATCGGTTGATGGTTGCTTTGGCGAGGAAGTTGAGTGGTGTGCCTGCTCCGGTGAATAATGCGGGGGCTGGATCGGGGGGGAATCTGGGGGATGAATCGGGGGGGAAGACGGATCGGCGGGAGGAGGAGCTGATCGATACGGAGGCTCAGTCTATTATCAAGGGGGCGGAGGGGCGTGCGGATTCGGCGTGGAAGGAGACTGCGTTGGGGGGCGATCGAGGCGACAGAGATAATAATCCCGGGGTGGTCCCGGGGCGGCTGCCGCAACGGACGGGGACCTCGTCGAGTTTGGCGAGTACCGCGACAACGACGACGACGCAGATGACCAAGGACGAGCTCTCGATGGCCAATGCGCATCTGATGGAGCGGTTGCGTCCGTTTCTCACAAACCCCGTCACGGATATGCCGGTGACCGTTTTCTTCTTCGACGAGACCCGGAGTCAGTCGAGGAGTATCATGACGGATGTATCCGGCCATTTCAGGATGCGCGCCGCTCTGCCCTTCGTCCCGACCCATATCCGCGTCCTCGCCTCGGAGAATCTGTCGGTCGTGAAGGAAGTGCAGATCATCGAGCCCTCCGGGATCAGTTTGATCAGTGATATCGACGATACGGTGAAGCACTCGGCCATCGCGAGCGGCGCAAAGGAGATCTTCCGGAATACCTTCGTCCGCGAATTGGCCGATTTGACGATCGAGGGCGTGGCGGACTGGTACAACCAGCTGGCGAAGATGGGGGTGGATTTCCATTATGTCTCGAACGCCCCGTGGCAGCTCTACCCGCTCCTGGAGCGGTATTTCAAGCAAGTCGGCTTGCCTCCGGGCTCGATTCATCTCAAGCAGTACAGTGGGATGCTCCAGGGCATCTTTGAGCCCACGGCGGAGCGGAAGAAAGGCAACCTCGAGCAGATCCTGAAGGACTTCCCTTCGCGGAAGTTCATCCTGGTCGGCGACAGCGGCGAGGCGGATCTGGAGGTCTATACTGATATCGTCCTGGCCAATCCAGGCAGGATCCTGGGCATATTCATCCGAGACGTCACCACAACGCATAAGAAGGAATTCTTCGAGAAGTCCGTAGACTATCTGGAACACAGAGTGTCGGCGAGTCGCAGCGATCCCCAGCTTGTCGACGACTCCGATGCAGCCCCCAAACGGCCGGCGCTCCCGCCTCGACGGCCTCTCGCATCATCGGCCACTAACCCATCTGCAGATGCCGTCAGCCTGGACAATGGAGACCTGATTGATCTTCGTGATGACGACGAGCGGGAAGCCTCATCCCGGGATCGGAAGACTCCCTCGGTGTCTCCCGCCGGACGGACACCCCCGGCTAAACCATCGAAGCCTTCCTCTCTCCGCTCGAATTCAACGAACACCGATATGTCGGTGGGGGAGTCGATCAAGCGGAAGCCCGTGCCTCCCCTACCACCACGTCTGTCCTCCACCAAGCCCGAGGTCTCGCCGGACCGGACCGCAGCCGTGGAAAACACGAGGCAGCAACTACGCACGCGGCCGAAGACCGCCGGTCTCGACCGGGAGATGGGAGATGCAAAGGTTACCCGCTCGAAGCAACCTCCGCCTCCGCCTCCGCCTCGTCGAGCCAACACCCTGGCGTCCGTCGAAAGCTCCGGCTCATCCCAGCAGTCCACAGCCAACCGTCCCACCCCGCCTCAAAAGCCACCGCAGCAGCAGCAGCAATCCTACCCCGCCGCAGCAGCCTCCGCAGCGTTGCAGTACGCCTCCGAACGTCTAAACTGGTCCGCCTCCCCGGCCAACATCCTCCGCTCCACGCAGTCGAACTCCTCACTTAATCGAACCAACACCGGCGGTGCCACGGACCGGACTGGGGGTTCCGAGAACCCGCCGCCTGCCGCGCCGCTGCCGAATAAACGGGAAGAAATGTGGCGGCGGCGGTGGGAGCGCGCGCAGGAGCTGCTCGAGACCCGCGATGTGGTGCTGGGGAGTTGGCGGGTCGGCCGGGATGCGCAGGATGTGAGTGTGTGGTTGGTGGAGGAGGCGATGAAGGAGGTGAGGGGGGTGAAGAAGGGTGATCGGTAGATTTTAACTACCATTCTTCCTTGTTACTGGTAATGGGGCTATGGGGTTTACGAGACTACCTAGTTGCCTACTTCAAGGCTAGATACCACTACTTGCGTTGTACATACATAGCATCTCATCCGATCAGATCACGATTGCATTCCAGGGGCATATGGCATATTTAGTACCCCCCCACCTACAACCACCCTCTGCCCAGCAAACTGAACAAAAAAAAACAACCCAGCCCAACGCTGTCTGTCTTCCTACAGCTCACCTCGCATAGGATCGATCCACTAGCAAAAACAGAGAGAAGGCATGGATGGACATGCAAAAAGATGGTCCCAGAGGGGCTCGAACCCTCGACTTTAACGTTATTAGCGTTACGCTCTAACCAACTGAGCTATGGGACCCGGTTGCTGTGATGGACGCTGGAATTAATGCTCTAAAGACCATTGGTAATCAGTGATCGTAAAAAGCCGGGTATTATATGTATCTGTTCGTGAGATCTGCGGAGGTTGTGGTGTTGTTGGAGGGGGGCGTTGGGGATGCTTGTATTCCGTATGTTGAGCTGGTGCTTGCCGGTGAGCGGGGCCCTTCCGAAGTCAGTAGAATAGTGGCGTGTACCTTTAACCTTAGCTGGGAATGATTTCTGCGTTGGTGGAGGTTACAGTATGTGCAAGCCATTGGACCAGTTAGGTGTTGATGTCGGATTCCGGTGGTCGTCTGCGGGGGTACCTTAGGTACAAGGCTAGCCGCTGCAGTTGATGGGGCGCGATGTCTCCGTTTCTTGTAGGACGGGTGACTGGTGTGGTGTTGTGTTGTGGTATTGATGCGGTTGGCGAGGAGGGGATACAGATCTCGATGGGCATATCCTTCAAGACGGGTATGAGTCGGGTCGGGAACAGCTTGCGTCTGAAGACTCCATGGAATTACTTCTGGCTAGGCTAACAAAATGGGAAGGGGGGAATGGCGCCTACGTGGTGATGCCGTGGTGATATAGTCTAGTATGTCCCAAACTCAATTCATTTCACTTAGAGTTTGCTGATAAGATTGACTTGGGCGGTGGACCCGGTCAGCCACAAACCTTGCTAGCATGACGCTGCGAAGTGTCGAGTGAGTTACTGTTGTAAGATAGCAGCGGCAAGCGGCCCATTTTGATATACAAAAAAAAAATAAAAAAAAAAAACTGCCAACCATCTGTGGGGTGTGGATGTAATACCGGACCTGGCACTCGATAGGACCTGCATCGTGGAGTCTCGGTTCATCGGTCAACCTCCTTCATCTGTGTCTTCCCATTCTCGGGCCTCTATCTCGACTTTCCAATGAGGTCCAGTGGCAAAGACAGAATGCATGGGGACAAAAAGATGGTCCCAGAGGGGCTCGAACCCTCGACTTTAACGTTATTAGCGTTACGCTCTAACCAACTGAGCTATGGGACCCCACTTGTTGATTCGGCCGAGGATAGAATGTTATAATCTCCTAGCCAATACTGCCGTAGGCTAACCGTATGCGGCGGATTGACTGGCTTGACTTGTTCAGGCTCAGGATTGACTAGTCATTTATGTGGTCGATCCATGTAGCTCTCCCGTTCTGTAAGCTCTGGACTTCGGTGGAGAATCGCTGGCTCTGGAAGGCTTTCGTTCGACCCGCGGGTAGTGTAATTTCATATATATCCCGCTCGGTTTGGAGGTATACATCTAACTCCAGTCAAATATACAATATACGTCAATCACGACCAGCCCGGGCACTACAGCAGAGTGACCAGATGCATGGGATACAAATACACCAAAAAACGTGGCCCAGGCTGCTAGCTCAGTTACTACTCAACTAAACATCAAATATCAACCCAATCACCACAGGCACGAGTCACTGGATACTTACTATATAATAACCACTGTAAACTGTCAGCAAGCTACATATTCACTGTACACCAGAGGCTTAATCACCTTTCTCTTCTTTTCTCGCTGGCAATCATTCTTCTCAGGTTAAAGATTCCCGCTGTACCACTACCCCCCCTCCCCCCCAAACAGGACCCCCGATATCACTTGCTGACTATCGGATTGAGCCCGTACTCATAGCCAGGTCACAAGAAGCTTCTGCCGCTCTTAAAGTCGACACCATACCCGGGAAGTCAGGGCTTCCCAGCGCTGTTCCAAAGATTGGGTGAGTGGGTCACTCGATTGATCGAGGGCTTTCAATTCCTCGCATAGATGTGTCCAAGCAATGGCTTTGGGATAGGCTGGGAGCTAGGGAACAATATTAGAAAAAGAGTCTGCCTAGGATCAATTAACCTACTCTGGGGGGGGGGTCGATTCGGGAATTGTATCGTGCAGTCGGATGGGTTCTGGCGGAGAAGCACATACGTGCAGGGGGGTGCACACCTGAGAATCGTGTCCGGGCCAGCGGTGTCCGACAGACACGGGAGTGATGCACACACAGTACTTGGTATACCTCGTGTAGGGTTCATGTAGACCACACAGCTGCGGCAACTACAGTACTCGGTAACTTATATACATAGCCCACCCAACCCACACTGGACCTTTACCAGGAACAAAATTGCAAGCCCGCAGAAACGTAACTACCATCCAATTATAGCGTTATCAGCCACCAAGAATCAATACCCGATTCCTCCCAAGCCAGGCAACAGACACACACCGCAATCCATCCAATCCCCAATACCACAACCCTGCTATATCTCAACAATGTCACTACACAGCGGTAATGTTTGGGACATAAAGCATTAATTTAGGCTCAAACCCAACAACTGGGTCCCATAGCTCAGTTGGTTAGAGCGTAACGCTAATAACGTTAAAGTCGAGGGTTCGAGCCCCTCTGGGACCATCTCTTTTTGCTCCTGCACCACCTTACCCAGTACGCAGTAAGTTATTGGTTTGTCTGCAAGAAAGAGCATGTACTGTTTTGTCAATTCCCAACCCGACCACAGCAAAGTGAAGCAGCGATGGATGCCGTGGACGTGCCGGACGCCCAGCGCACTGCCATAGCTACTTGGGAATAATGTAGACAAGACACAGAGCCATGAGCAGCAACACTCCCGGATACTCCATGGCGCCGCTTCTAGACGACCACACCCGATCTATAGGAACGACCACGGTCAGACGTCACCCACCAAACTCAATTCGGCAGTAGCCTATTTCGCGTAGATGAAGTATAGCCCATCCGAGGTTTTGGGGGACATAGAACTGAACTACGTATAATGCAATCCACCTTACACCGTGACACCAGGGTACCAGATACCAACCAGCTTACAGTGCTGTGCATACAGTACCCAGACCAGCGAACTTGTAAGTCCGGTACCGTACGATGGTTTTCCCCGGTGAACAATTTACCGCACAAGACAAGCCCTAAAAACCAAACCAAACCTACATACAGCTACTAAGGTATACGCCAACAAAAGGCCCTCCAAGCGACCGGACAAAACCTATACTGTGTCAATACTATCAGCAGCAGCAGCAGCACTGCCGAGCAGAATTCCCGCGGAAATAAAGGTACGTATTGTACTACTTTTCCTTTCTGCCCTAGGCCTAACGTATAGATAGCCGTGCTGCCTGTAAGTTCCGCCCTGCACGATTGTAGGCTATTGATAAACCACCCCCCCCCCCGCCTATAGTTGCAGACCTCAGAATAGTCTTTCCTGCATCAGTTGTTTCCTAATATATCTAGCCAATCTCAAAAAGCCCTCACTAAACCCTCGATTCTCTACGTTAACCAGTCCGATCAGATGAGAAGTAAAAAAGGTCAGATATATTAGTTCATCTGGCTCCATCGATGGTTAACTTGAGTAATAACCAGGTAGCTCTGGAACCCAATTCCTCAACGACCGGAAGAATCTGCCAGAGACGCAAGAGTTCGCCAGTTTTGGAAATCCGGTGCGATCCATGATTCCCATCTTGACAAAGAAAAAAGAAAAAAAAAAGGAAAAGCTGAGCCGAGTGACCCACGGGCACTGGGCAGGCGGATTTGGATTCCCGAATGGGTATGAGACACTCGGACCGAGCTCGGAGAAGCTATCATCTGGGCCAGGAACCGACAACCCTAGAACAACAGCATGCATCCTTTTGATTTACAGTCTGACCGCTAACCTCCATCTGCGACGGAAACCGGCAGTCCTGTGTGTGTGTGTGTGTGTGTGAAACCCGAATATCCTATTCCGGTCCAAAAGACAAAAGTCAAGTGAGTCTACGCCGTATTGACCGATCGAGTGCGAGAAGCGTTCAACTCACCTCTCCAGCAGAAGTAGAGGCAACGACATCACCAAGCGAGGATCGGGAAACCATGATATGGTGTTCGAGCGATTGTATCTTTTCCGAACGGGGGCGGGGTCGTGGAGAATCGGCATCACGTCTATGCCGCCGTCGTGGACCGTACGGGCAAATTACTCTATTCGGTCGGCAATCCCATGCGGATCACGCTGGCAAGATCGACCGCAAAGCCGGTCCAAGTGCTCGCGGTGCTGGAAACCGGGGCGCATGAGATCTTCAACCTGGACACTGGCGACATCGCGTTGATATGCGCGTTGCACAGCAGCGAGGACAAACATGTGGCCCGGGCCGCGAACATGCTCGCCAAAGCGCGGGCCGGCGAGGCGGACCTGCGCTGTGGAGGCCATGCCTCCCTGTCCGAGACCGTGAATGCGAACTGGGCCCGGGCAGGGATCACCCCTACCGCCATCCACAACAACTGCTCCGGCAAGCATGCGGGCATGATCGCCGGGGCACGGGCGCTGGGGACCCGGATCGAGGACTATCATCGCCTGGAGCATCCGTTGCAAGGCCAGGTCCGCCACGCGATCGCCGACCTGTCCGGCCTCGACCCCAGGGATGTCGTCTGGTGTATTGACGGGTGTAATCTCCTAGTACCCGCTCTTCCGCTGCAGTATCTCGCGACGGTGTTTGGTCGCCTCGCCGAATCGGCCGATGAAGTCCAGAGGAGTCTGGACTCGGGTTCAACCACCGCCAGGACGCGACACCTGCACCCGGAGCTGGTCGCTGGACAGGGGCGCTTCTGCACCACCCTCATGCATGCCTACGGGGGCGCGGTTGTCGGTAAGCTGGGGGCGGACGGCTGCTACGGGGTTGCCGTCCGAGCCTCTGAATGCGGCGCCCAGATGCCTGGACGGGATGGAGCGATTGGCATCGCGGTCGAAATCGAAAAATGGCAACATTGGCATGCTTTACGCGGCGGTCATGGAGATACTGCAGCAACTTGGCATCGGGACGCCGGAGATCTGGCACCGGCTGGCGAGATTTCATCATCCAAAGCTCGTCAACACTGCTGGTGTAACGACGGGGTCTGTGAAGTTCGATTTCAAAGTACAGAAAGCACTCTAGATTCTTGGGGGTTTATCCCTCCCCAAGACAATATGAGATGCTTCGCCAGAATGGCTTGCTCTTCGATGCCCCAACAGCATCAGACCCGGAGGCCGTGAAAAGAGTTCAAATCCCCAAAATCAAAGGTTAGGTGGAAGTAAGTATAGGGTATACATTTGAGATTGAGACGTGCTGGTGCATGTGCCTCCCCCCACCTTGTGCTCGAAGTAGGGTTCTAGTCTCTATACTGCGGATGATGCCTGTGCACAGGGCCGGACACTCGGTGCTGCTTTGCTTTGGTCCTTCTTGTTGTTTCCTAGGGCACCAAGCCTCAGTGAGTTGAGTAATGAGGAGACGCTCACAACCCTTCACCTAGCAATGATAGAAGACAGCGATTGAGTGTATAGCAGCTCTGACGAGATTGTTGCTTCGAAGGTGGTTGTAATAAGTAGCATAGAAGCTCTGCCAATTGTTCTAACAGATGAATTGATACAATACACCTAAGCAATACAGATTCTATAGGCTGAGATATCCAAAAACACCGAGGTTTCTACCACTCAATTGGTAAATAGAGGCTCTGTATATCCTGCCCATAAGATGGGCTATAATAGCCATCAGTAGCAGCGCCTGGAGCAATTCAGGCCAAGCAAGCATTATCACGTTCGCAGCGACCGTAAATAGCGAAATTCCCATTGTCAAGCTAAGACAAGCAGATGATGGGATTTGCAGCAAAACATTCCAATAGTACTTACTACTATGTACTGCTACCCCCCCAGGCCCAACCCGGAGACATATCCTATCTACTGCAGAGCCACCCGAGCATGGTAAATATACGGCCACTGTATCTCAACCCCATGACTCCCGATCCAATTTGTTAGATATATATTCTCACAAAGGGGTGAGTTAGCATTGCTTAGTAAAATTGCTTTATTATCAAACCCCATCCCCGGTATACACAAATCCCTTTAATCTTATGCCTAACCACCTCTAACACACCATCGAGCGAGCACCAACAGCAACTGGTCCCATAGCTCAGTTGGTTAGAGCGTAACGCTAATAACGTTAAAGTCGAGGGTTCGAGCCCCTCTGGGACCAGCTTTCTTTTTGTTTTTTTGTGGGCTTCATCCGGTAGGTGAACGCTGGCTTTGATTGCTTGAGGCTTTTTTAAGGAAGTATGGTGGTGGGCTTAGGGTATGGATATGGGGGTGGTCTGGTCTGGTCTGGGCAGGTTCAAGGAAGGGGATGTTGTAGCTCAGACTATTCACATTTGTCTTCATGCAGGTTGGTTGTTGATTGACTCGCTAGGCAAGTGTATAGATAGGGGATGGGTACCTCGAATTGACTTCATGAAATGCGACAAAGTTATCCGCCATACCCTCGGGGAATGATCGCGGCGTTCGTCGTTGGAACTAGGCAATCTTCGTCCAGTAGATTGGGTGGTGCCTTTGTCTGTTGGCTGTACTTGGGATTAGATGTTGACTATTGACTCTTGACTATCGACACGGTCGACCGTGCACCTGGAAGTATAGTCCACCAGCCTGGTTGAGACTCCCAAGGCAGGTCGTACTTGCACGCCTGCAAGTGCATATCATCTCATCTGATCCTGAGCCTACATCAACATCAGACCTCGCAGGCATTCCACTTTGAGAAAGGGGGAAGGGGTCGAAAGCTACGCCAAACTGTACATCGAGCTTCGATCCACCATCTGAACCCGGGCATGGTCACCCCATCCAGCCACATACGAATCTAACTAACCGAGCTTTTTGCAGCATCCACCTCTTCAGACTCATGAATGCTGTGCTCCTCTGCCAGATGCAAAGGTTCCTGTCCTTGAGACGTTCGGGATGAGGCGACCCGATTTGTGTAGCATTGCGCCGCCGCCCGCAGCAGCTGCAGACGTGGATGGCGTGGATGCATCTTGAGGAGTCTTTCTCCACTCGGTGCAATCAACGGGAGCAGACCCGTGAAGCAACTCGAGCATGATAAGATCGTCTGTGAGGAGAGTCCTTAGCAGTGACTTCCTCCAGGGGGGGGGGGGGGGTGGAACGCTACTGAACAGTCCGATCGGCCAATTCACAAACGCTCTACATGGAGGTACCTAGAGGGCGGGCGGCGCATTGAGCCACTCGCATTGATCGTCTGGCCGCTGCGACATGGTAGTGCTTGGATATGGATATCGAATTCGCGGACTATGGGTCTGACTTAGACTCTGGCGCCTTCTGCACATGGTAGTTCGGTTTGATGTGCCTGTCCCTGGGTGTGTACTGCACATACCACGAAACCGAGAATCAGCACCTCTTTCCTTCCGTCCCTATTCATGGGATTAAGTCGGCGACATGGAGCAGATCACTCCAACACTGTGTAGACCTGCAAAAGAGAATGCACAGGGGCAAAAAGATGGTCCCAGAGGGGCTCGAACCCTCGACTTTAACGTTATTAGCGTTACGCTCTAACCAACTGAGCTATGGGACCCAGTTGTTGTTTTTGCCACTTGGAATGGCGTTATGATCAAAAGATAAAATGCCTGGTTCAATCGCATCGTAAATATGACTTCAGGTTGCTGTCACACAGTATGCGGGGTTCTGGTGGGTGGCGAATTGTGGGGTGTCATTTTTTACTGAGTATACGGGTGATGTGGGACCTATGGAATGTATCCTTGGGGGAGTTGGGGTGGTTGTGGGTTAGTGGATGTGTGCGCTGGGCTGTGTTAGGGGGTGCGATTTCTGGACTGGGATACTCTTATTACAGTAGTGAGTGACAGTGGTAGCAGCGACATTTACTCAATGCTGTGGGTACTGCAGTATCATGCAATGGCAATGGCAATGGCGCATATTCAACAATATCATACACCGTGGCAATAAGAAACTCGCATCGTCGTTAGTACGTCAGTCAACAGCAACCCCCTCAAACTCTACGCCTGCACATCGACCAGAATCTTGCAGTGCGCATCTCGATGATTCACCAGCTCCTCAAACCCCTTCACCACCACATCATCCAACCCGATCTTCGCGGTGACCATTTTCTCCGGAGCCAACTGGCCTATCACCCATGTTAGAGCCTCCCGTCGACCAAACCATCCACAATCACCCCAAAGATAGGGCATGAAACATACCATGATTCAGCGCCTGAATCACACCCACAAACGCGCTCTCATCATACAGCGCCGACCCCGTATACTTCAACTCGCTATACATGAGGTCATTCACCCTCAAGGCGGGCCGCTTCTCCCAGACCGCGATATTGACAATCGTGCCGTGGGTGCGACAGGCGCCGATCGCCTCGTCGAGCGCCGCCTCCACGCCCGCGGTATCGAAGATGACATCCGCGCCGCCGTGTTACCGCCGGGCCCTTCCGCGCGCGGGTTTATGATGTGCGCGGCGCCGTAGTCCCGCGCCAGTCGCTGGCGGTTCGCCATCATCTCGGCGACCAGGATGTTCTGCGCCCCCTGCATCTTCAGGACCTGCACGATCCCGATCCCCACGGGCCCGCCGCCGAGGACCAGGACGCTGTCGCCGGGCTTGAAGGGGGAGATGTTCACCGCGTGCCAGGCCACCGCCAGGGGCTCGATCAGCGCCGCCGCCTCCAGGGAGATGGTGTCCGGTAGCGGGTAGAAGTGGTCGGCTGGTGCGACGATGTACTTGGCTAGACCGCCGCCGTACCCTGTATGCAGATGGTTGGGTGGTCAGCCGGATTGTTGCTCGTCCCTGTCTCTTGCTTGAGGCCAAGAAAGGTGTTAGGATGCGGGCGTACCTGATAGCCCGATGAAGCCGATGTTCTCGCAGCAGTATTCGTAGCCCAGCTTGCAGGACGTGCACTCTTTGTCGAAGATGGTGGGCCGTACGACGGCTCGCTGGCCCGGCGAGACGTGGGTCACGCCCTCGCCGACCTCTTCAATGATCCCGCCAAATTCGTGGCCCAGGGTTACGGGGTGCGTGGCCCCGGTGATCTTGTGCGGTTCCTGGGGTACCAGGACTGGACCGCCCAGGTATTCGTGTAAGTCTAGGAGGGTTAGTACGGACGTAGAGATCCTTGAGTGGTGACGGGAGATCGCTTGCCACTGCCACAGATTCCGACGAAGGCAGGTCGCATCTATGTTACGGGCGTGGCCTTCAGTGGAGAATACGCGTCTACATGGAGGGAAAAATTACCTTGACCTGTCCCTTCCCGCATGTCGGTTCTTCGATCTCATCGACCCTGATGTCGCCCCGTCCGTGGAAGCGCACGGCCTTCATGATGGGTGCAGTGCCCGTCAGAGTTGTCCGCAGAGCTTTGACCGAGTCAGTCGCAGTGTTGTTCAGCATTTTATTTTGCTTTCGTCGAGTTAGATTCGTCATACGATATAAATTGGTATTGTGTTATACACACTCGTCAAGCAACGCAATGGCGAATACGGTCAAGGTTTGCTGTCAATGAAAAGTGGATACAGCCATTTTCATGAAGAGAGTGCTATATAAGATGTCGCGGCGAATTGCAGACGTGGCAATGACGTTAAGTCGATATGAGGTCTCCCTCGCGAGCAGGATATGTTTTCAAATTTCATTGATTGGTTGAAGTGTATGTACAGTACTTTGCCTACATGATGTTCAATTGGTCGGACGAGAGGCTGTTCATCTGACAATCATTACAACATAAGGTATCTGATGTTGCATTGACCCTGCGTTGAAGCGAGCCTCACGGGTGGCTCCCGGAGGTGTTCTCATTTCTCTTTGGATCAGTCCAGGAATAGCGCGAGCATGATTTGCTGGCCCTCGTCCGACGTCAGAGGATAGCGGGTGGTTCAGCGATAGGTTCAGAATTCTCTGGAATTGGCGCCGTGATTAGACCGTCGAGGTTGATGGCGCCCGGAGATATCGCCTGCCTGTTTGCGTTGTCAGGATGCTCGAGCAGTGGCGTCATGAATCGCGGCGAATTAGAACTTCTAGATTCACGTCAATTTGATCTCCGCAGCTGTCATTTGGGAACACGGCCCGCCACCATTCCTGCCAAAAGATTAGCCACCCCCTCGATTACGGGGACTTGTCATGAGACGTAAGTGGATGGGTTCGCCTTACATACTCTAAAAGTTGGCTCTGAATGGCAGATGAGCCCAGCCACCAATGATATGGAGGCAGTTGGGTAGATCTGCACATCAACTTTGGACTGAAGTAATCCCCGCCGAAGGGAGCACCAGTCAGTGGGTCCCCTTTGAATCAGGCTTCTCGATCGCGCATCTGCTCAACGAACGCGCGGAGAATGGACTCTAAGCCCTCGTTGCGGCGTGCTAGGAGCATGACATCGGTGACATTAACCGTTGAGCGGCCGGCATGCCTAAAACGGAAAGCCGAGCATGTCAGCATATCGTAATATCAACGTCTCTGGGCGTCAGACAGAACCACAAGAAGGCAGCCAGCTTTTGGTCATGAGAGGAAATTCCCCAGGCAGAAGAATCACTCAAGGGTATCACTTACTTGGAAAATGATTCCAAGTCCTGGCTAACGGTTTCTATTGGGGATTCGGGTCAGCATTCGGGCGCAAGTCTGGTACGAGAGAAGGAAGCATCCAACGAGAGGCATTCGAAAGAACGCTGCTGATAGAGTCCATCCAGCATGCTGGCTCGATGGTAGGCAGAGGAGAGGGACAGAAACACCAACCTATCTGAGCCCAGACCAACTCTGTCAATGCCCCGATGAACTGAGGCGTGGCGTTGATCCCGAGCTTGATAGTCTCTTCGTCCACGATCCTCCCAATCGCCAGCCAAAGAGCAGATTTCAAACGCTGTATTGAGTTCGAAGACAACAATCAGCACAACTGCCCAAGCCGTATACGCAGGGGGGGCAAGCACCGCACCACCCTGATAATGGGATACATACCTCTTCGAGTCCAGCTTCCTCGGTTTGATCCATCGCAGCTATTCCAGCTTTCAAGACGGGAGACTTGAATACAAACAACGCGAATTGCCAATTCTGCTTGACCAAAAGCACCAGACGCAATTCGAACGAGTATCAAGATGGTACCCAACTGAACTGTAGCTTGCCGATGCGCGACGACTTCCCGCGGCCAGTTCGTGTCGGGGACGCGTTGAGTATGCAGATTAAACCGTGATTGGCCGAAGCTCAACCCACCGGAACGAGAGTTAATCCGCTGGACGACCCGCCGAGAATGACGCTAAACTCAAAGCAAAAACATTTCCACTTTCGGCATTTCAACTCCGAATCATGAGCGATTTATTGCGGCGAAACTAAGCTACTTGACCTACTCCGGAGTAGTACACAGGTGGCTCTTTCACCCAGGTACAATTTTTCTCTGGCTTTTGCGAGAAAAAAAAAAAAAACAAAGCACAGAGCTCTGTGGTGCAAACAGTCGCAGTATCCGAGTTGCTGGGCCCTTTGCTGTCTTACCGCAGACAAGCCCTTCCAATTCACATCCCCCACTACTCCGTACTCCGTCCGTACATCCGGCCAAACCCGCCCTGCTCTTCCCCGGTTGAACCTCCAGTTGAGCAGCCCGCATTGAAGAACAATCGTTCGAGAGTCCAGCAGTCCTCAATCCACCAAAACAGCATGTCCACCCCACCCCCCAACCCGGGCGCCGTCGCGCTCGACGCCCTCACCGACTTCTTCACGCAGCTCTACTCCGTCGCCGAGACGGTCGTGACCCGCTTCATCACGAACCTGCACGGCTCCTTCGCCAACGTCTCCACGGGCCGCTGGACCAAGGTCATCCTCTCCGTGGTCGGCTACCTGATCATCCGGCCCTACATCGAAGCCTGGTTCAAGAAGATGCACGAGAAGGACCGCAAGAAGCACATGGAGAAGAAACGCGCCCAGGAAGCGGCCGCCGGCGGCGGCAAGGGCGAGAAGAAGAAGGCGCGCATGTCGGCCAATGCGCTCCGTGGCGGTAGTGGCGGGGGAAGAGTGCTCGGGGAGGTGGAGAACACGGACGATGAGATTGAGGACGAGGAGGATACCGCCGCCACTACCACCGGCGCTGCTACCGCTACCGGCACCACCACTGCGGCGACTTCCACCGTCACGCAAGAGGATTTCGCGACGGCGAGTGGGGTGCCCGAGTGGGGGAAGAATGCTCGCAAGAGGCAGAAGAAGTATCAGAAGAGCTTGGAAAAGGAGGCGGAGAAGCAGACGCAGAAGTTGTCGGAGGAGGAGATTATGGAGTTGTTGGATTGGAGTGAGGATGAGGTTGAGGGGGTCAAAAAGGAGGAGTAAGTGGAGGGGAGGTGATCACAAATTTGGTTGCAGGACGGGCTCTGTGAGGTTAGATGGATGCATTGGTGCAAGATGGTGTTGTGAAGCTCTCCTTTCTGTGAGCGGAGTACGTATATATATGTCTGTGTGTGTGTCTGTCTGTGTGTCTGTGTCTCGTTGGTCGGGACGACTATTACTTTTAATATCTCTACATAATTGGTATAGACAAAATGATGATTCATGTTGCTCTTTGGGAAAGCGTGCTGAATATGGCGCTGCAGCTGTGCCGTTGTTCGTGTCTACTAAGTCCTACATGAGTTCGCCGCACATGTCCACTGGTTTGTGGATTTGAATACAGAATCCGAACAGAACTCATCTCTTGCTTGGGATGCCTAGTACGTCTTCAATCCAAAGTGCTCCTAGGTCTTCCCTGTCTGGAATTGGAGATCTATAGTCCTGGGCTCCTCTTCAGTGCATAGATGGCAATAACAAGTATTGAAAGGGCAACTTCAGAACGTAACAGAAGCCTTGTCTTCCTCACGAGCTCTGCGACATTCGATTCCCTAAGAGCGAACGTCCACTCAGAATCTAACCCCCCCTGTTACTGCGACTTATCCTGAAGCCACTTGTACACCACCGAGAAATCCTTACCGCGGTGCTCTTCCTCCACAGCATTGTACACAGTGCGAGCCACATCAGCCAGGGGGAGAGGCGAGCCCGACTCCTCTGCAGCCGTGATCGCCAACCGTAAGTCTTTCTTCATCAAGCTGACGCCAAAGCCACCGGCATAGTCACGGGAGGCTGGCGCCGTCTCCACAACGCCAGGCACAGGGTTGTTGACCTCCATCGGCCAGCACCGACCGGTGGACGTACTGACCATATCAGCAAGAGTCTTGGGATCCAGGCCCCAGCGCAGGCCCAGATTCATCGCTTCGGCGGTGGCGATGTTGTTGATCGCCAGGATGTAGTTGTTGACGAGTTTCCCCGAGACCCCGGCACCGGGGGCGCCCATGTGCCACGCATTCTTACCCATAAGGGACAGAACCGACCTCACTCGGTCGATGAGTTGACCGGTCTGGGACGTGGCACCGAACATGAAGCTGAGCGTACCGTTGCGGGCCCCGACGACACCCCCCGACACAGGTGCGTCCACAAAACGACCCTGCCCGGTGGTGTGGATCGCGTTGGCAATCTCTTTGGATGAGCTAGGATCGATGGTTGACGTGTCGATGAATAGACGCTCCTGCTCCAGGGGTGGGAGTTCACCGTGCCGGAGAATAGAATAAAAGACGTCTTTGACATGCTGTGGCTCTGGAAGGCTGGTAATAACGACCGTCTAGAACGGATGCGTTGTTAGAAGATGATGCCAGGGGCCCCACATTGGGCTTGTCAAGTATTGATGAATACAAAGACTGCAGACAATACACCGCGATGAAATCTTTCCAGACCCAGATTTCACATAGACCCCTGTTCCGAACGCTAGATAGAGCTCGACCTACTTACAGCTTGTTCTGCCATATCTCTCGCGCTCTCCGCCACGACAACATTGGCCATGCCAGTGCCAGTGCCCGCAGCGGCAGCTCGCTTGGCTGCCTGACGAGCCTCCTCCACAAACCGCACGGTAGTATCTTGATTGACATCGCGAATCATCAGCGTGTCGGTGGCGGGGATCTTAGACTGTATGTTCTTAGCCATGTTATATCCTAGACAGAGAATCGCACTGTCAGCCACCTGCAACACGCATGCTCGAGAGGGTTGGCGCCGTACGTACCCATTTGTCCGAGTCCTATGAATCCCCACGTGGCATATTTCTGTGTAGAGGATGAGAACAGTCTTCTCGATCTGGTGGGGGGCTTTCGAAGAGGATGGCTCGCTGAAGGGGCTACTCTTGACATGCGGGTCCCCCGCAGGAGCGGGGATAGAGCACCGGGACGAGCCATTGTTGAGTGTGAATAAGTGCTAGAACCTGGGAAGAAACAGCCTATCGAACGAGGTGCGATTCATGCGCTGATGCCAATGGCTCCTTGCTTCAGAGTCAAGCAGTTTGATCCGGCGCTCTGCAAAAGTGGTAGCTATCGTACGTTGGAGTTGTAAAAGTAGCAAGTTGTAGTTCATCAATG